AGGGCTAACTTTCAAAATCATTCATATAGCTTTCTGACACCTAAGTATAAAAACTAGCCAATGTGGAGCCAGGATCTCCTCCTCCGGCCTTGACACAAGCTTCTGACTGCTGTGTGAGCATGACCAACATAGAGATAGGGAAGCTGTCTGTCCTGTATCCTTCCTGAATATGCTGTTCGTGCTACGGCTACGTATATCTGATGACTATTACTAAATTACCCAACCAGGAGGAAAGTACCCTTTGTTCCTTTGGAATTTTCACTATATCATCCAGTGTGTCTTGGTACTCCTTGTGAGCCCCAATTGGTTTACTTGCATGCTGTGCTATAATTCTCTCAATGGGGACACTATGGTCTTGGACATAATGGTGTCAATGCCACTGGTCCGGAAGTCCTTGCAGAAAAAGTTAGCCCATCTTATTGTGGTCACCGAAGTAGTTGAAGGTAGAGTTGGAGGTAGGAGACTGGAAAATCAGGGAACACATTGTTGCCTACACGGGGCCTAGTAACTGCTCAGATCAAAAGGTCATTAATTGTTGGTGTAAAAATGAAATGCTGCAAACGTATTGTCATATCGCTACTAATTTGCATTTTCATTTTGCTATTCTTTGCAATATACACATTTTATATATATGTACATATACACAAATATATAATATATAGATATAATATGTACACACATATTATAGATATACAATGTATATATTTAATATATACATGCATACACTGGTGTAGCTGCCCCCTGTACTCTGGGTGGGCCCCCAGCCCAGTGTTCCAGACCTTTTCTGGTGACCTCCTAAATTGTCCGAGGCTAGAAAAATCTCACTCCTACTTTTTGTAGACTCTACCATTCCAGAATGACATTTGACACATTAGTCATAAAGTTGTTTGGAGGGGGAATGTGGGAAGAGCCTGGCTGGGTTGGTATCTCTATTCTGCCATCTTGGCTCAAAACACACACAAAGCCCATTATTGCCTAGGTCAAATCAGGGTGAAAGCCAACCTTTGGAGGGTGCTGGAAGGGAAGGAAGGGAAGGAAGCACAAAGAGCAAGCCTTCTCTGGTGGTCTTAGTGATGGCTGGTGCCTTACATCCTGTGCACGTAATAGAACCTGGGGAGGGGGGCTCCACTATCACCAGAATAATCATCAGCACACCCTACATTTCTATAACACTTTTAGGAACTTAGGTGAGTACAAGGATTATTATAGTCATTTTGCAGATGTGGAATGGAGGTCCCCAAAGAGATGATTTTTCCTAGGGTCACATGACCCATAAATCTTGGAGCTGGGACCAGAACCCAGGTTTGCAGACTCCAAGGCCAAACACTTCCCATGCATCTGAGGCACCAAACCAGAGGGAGGCGATATACTCCCATTCAAGGGAAGGGTTGGCACCATCCCCAGTCACAGTCAGGACAGAACTTCCACAGTCACTCCTCAACCAGGCCAGGGAGGAAGCCAGGCAGAATCACCAGCCCTGGATTGTCTCTGGTGCCAGTTCTATGGGTATCAGACTTAATCCATCAAGGTGAGACGACTGTGAATTTTGTAGTCTCCTGGAATCCAGGAAACTTTTAGTTATGGAGTCCATGTTCTAAGTGCACTTCCAGCTCAGCTCTAAATCCTATGCCAGAATCTTGTCTTTAACCTGGGCCATCCTGTATCTGTGTTGTCTTTAGGGAAGCTGGGACCTGGTCCAGAGGTAATATATCAATGTATCAAGACAGATCCCCGCCAGCAAATCTCATACAGGCAGAGAATGCCTTGGGACTCTGAAGTGTTGCCCAGGTGTTTGAGGCAAAAAGTGCATGGATGCTTTGAACCCTGACTTGCCAAAGCGGGACAAGAAAACCGCTTACTCTTGCTTAGGTCAGGAGGGAGCCCTTTTCCTTCTGCAGTCTTTACACATTGAAGGATCCTTAGAGCTGTGAGGTCATCTAGGGTAACACCATCATTTATAGAGTAAGAGACGGAATCTCAGAAAGAATGGGATTCTCCTGAAGTCACACAGCTAATGAGGGGCAGAATGAGGAAGGGAAACCTGGCTGCTTAACTCGTAGGCCAGAGCTCCTTCCAGTAGACTATAGTGTCTTCATGGCCTTGGTTCTTTCCCTCCTGCTCCCTTCTGACTTAGTTGCTGAATGGACTATCTCTCCCTTTTTCTCTCTTTAGCAGGGAAAATTATCAGAAAGGTTGGAATTGTGTATGCAAAACTAACCAAGTCACAGGAGGAAACGGTACGTTTGCTGGGGGGGGGGGGAGTTCCCTGCTTTGTGACATTTTTTACTTGGATTGGGAGAAATAAGTGGTTGAATTCCCTGAAAATTGTCAAGGCTTGTCCTTCTTGGTGACCAAGGGAATAGGGATGCTGGGGAATTCACTTGCAGCCAGAGCAGGGCCAGGTCCCTAATGTTTGGAGCATACTTCAAGAGATAAGATTCAATTGGTGGTTCTGGTGTCCAGTTCATATAGGCATTAACTGGCTCTAGGACCTTGGGCAAACACCTTTCTCTCTTTGGGCCTCATTTTCCTCATCTATAAAAGGAGCTAGGTTAGAAGATCTCTAAAGTCCAATCCACCTCTAAGATTCATGATAAACCTTGATCTCTGGAGAGACTCCAGGGGGAGGGATCTTTCCCTACTCTTCCTGGGGAGTGAAGATAGGAATGGAGCAGAAGGAGTCAACCTACACAGGAAATAGGTACTTTTCCCTGGGGGACTGTGGGATCAACCTTTTCCGCTTGCACCTTCCCAGGTGGAGGAAAAGAATGATTAATGAAGACCTTGTAGTTACCAGGAACCTAGAAGGAATCTGGTTTGAAAGTTACCACATTGATAACTCCTTCTCTGTCCAATAAAGAATTGCTTTCCTATTAGTATTCTTCCTGGGTGTGATTGGTTGGGGGCAATGAACACTTGGGCCTGGACTGGTTGGCAAATCAGATGTCTTTTGTCTGGTTGGTTTATGAGTTGGGTACCTATGTCCAACAGGTTAGAGTCGTCAGACCTCCCTGTCTGATTGGTTGTGGTTCTCAGTGGAGTTTTAGCTGAACCACTGGGGCCCCAGGGAGTCTGAAACCCTGACCTGAAGAAATGTGAGTTCTGATGAAGATGAGATGATAAGAAGTCACTCTCTCTGGATTTTCTCTCCTTTCTACAGCTGAGAGGGGTTGGAGTCAGGAGGTGGTCCTTTCCTTGGCCATTTTTGGAAGGTAGCAAAGCTTGATGTGGGAAAACACCTTTTGAAGTCATTTACCACCCTAGAACTCAGAATTATAGCTTGCCAGGAGCAGGGAACCTTATATAGAACCCCTGATCAGTTTTGTTGGTTTTTCAATTCACTTGATGAGATAATAGGGTATAGACTTTTGGAGGAAGGGGGCATAACCACTGTAGCTTGGTATAGTCCCTAGGCCCTTGCTGTGAGGACACAGAGAACTCCCTCCATTGGGCTATAGTTACTGAACTGTACCAGGATGACTGTTAACCAGGGTTCAGGAGAATAGCCTCTCATTGGAGGTGCTGCCTCCCCTGTGGTCTCTTGGATAGAGGAGAAATGACCCCAACCCTTAGGAGAGGGGATCTCTTTTCCTCATACTTTCTCTCTCTTGTATTTCTAGACTACAGTGCAGTAAGAGGATATAAGAGGAATTGTCATTCCTCCCTAAGTGACTTAAGGCAGAAGCACATGGCAAGGAGAGACATGGACTTTCCTTCATGAGCCTGACTTTCCTTCCTAGACATTCCAGTTCTTGGTGGGCTTGTTGTGCCTTTCTATTTCCTTTTCTGAGCACAGGCCTGTGATCACCAAAGGCCTACAAAACTATGCATACCCTTTGACCTAGCAATACTACTACTTAGTCTAAATCCCCCCCCCCAAAAAGGAAAAGAACCTATATGAACAGAAATGTTTAAAGTAGCTCTTTTCCAGTGGCAAAGAATTGGAAATTACGGGGATGCCAATTAATTGAAGAATGGTTGAACAAGTTGTGGTATATGATTATGATGGAATGCTATTTCATGATGAGAAATGGTGAACTAGATGCTCTCAGAAAAACTAGGAAAGACTTATATGAACTGATGCAAAGTTAAATGAGCAAAACATTGTAACACAGTAATAATAATATTGTATGATGGTCTAGTATGAATAACATGGCTGTTTTGAGGAATAATAATGATCCAAGACAACTCTGAGGGACTTATGATGAAAAATGTTACCATCCCCACAGAGAGAACTGATGGAGTCTGAATACAGATAAAAGCATACTTTTTTTAACTTTATTTTTCTTGGATTTTTATTTTTGTCTACATTTTCTTTTACAATATGACTGATATGGAAGTATATTTTGTATGACTATTCAGGTCAGACCTGTATAAAATTGATTGCCTTCTCAATGAAGGGGCTAAAGAGGGAGGGAGAGGATTTGGAACTCAGTTTTAAAAATGAATTTTGGGGGCAGTTAGGTGGCGCAGTGGATAGAGCACCGGCCCTGGAGTCAGGAGTACCTGAGTTCAAATCTAGCCTCAGACACATAACACTCACTAATTGTGTGACTCTGGGCAAGTCATTTAACCCCAGCTGCCTTACCAAAAAAAAAAAAAAAGAATATTGAAAGTGGCCTTTACTTTTAATTGGGGGGAAATAAAATCCTAATCTGAAATCCTATGACATCTTCATTGTTCAATGAAATGATAAAATTAGGTAGGGGTCAGTGGATGTTGAGATAACAAAAATTGTCATAAGAAGGCAATATGAGTGTAGTACCTGAACACAGGCTGCTCTACTCCCTCACTCATATATTCATCTCTTCATTCACAATTTCATTCATTCCTTCATTCAACTACTTTATTGAACATGTACATTCCTACCCCCTTCAGAGAAGAGTCCATGACCCAAGAATTCAGAGGTGCCAAGGAGAGCCTCATTTATTCATATAGACAATACAATGTGCAGAAGTTGCCCACATACACAGAGCCTGTGTTTTATGTTTCACGAAGGATTTTGATATGAGTTATATGAGCAAAATTTGATTGAGCCAGTACTGCAGGAGAAGCTATACAAGGGAGGAGAAGACAGGAGCCTCCAACCTACAGGTATTATTGGTGATAGACCTGATCCAGGGGTGGAGAATCTGAGGTCTTAAGGTCACATGTGGCCTTCTAAGTCCTTAAGTGTGGCCTTTTGACTCAATCCAAATTTCTTCCAGAAGTTCCCCGCCCCTGGTCTATGAGAAGCTCTCTAGCACAGATATTTTGGCTTCTCCCCAAAGGCCCAGCTATAGCAGAGGGAAAGAACATTGCCATCCTAGAATCCAAATATATGAGTCCGACAGCCTCAGCACAGGAACCGGAATCACTCTAAGGAAGAAAAGCCAGATAAGAGACTCAAGTTAGAAACTAACCCTCCCCAACTCAAAACCCAGCTCTTGCTGCCCCAATTCCTAGTGCTATCTGCAAAAAGGGTATATGAAGGCATAAGGAGTCATGACATTAGGAATCTCAACAGTTAAAGATTCAAGGGAAAAGGAATCAAACTGTACCTAGGCCCAAATAGGGGTTATTGAGTGATAAAAGGAATGTTATTTATACTAGCAACTTGGGACTAATGAGCTTTTGGAGCATGTAGGCTCGGAGAGCCTACAAAATGCTTGGGGAAGACATCACCACTCTTCTCTATCTCTAAAACAATGTAAATGGATGGATTAGTACAGTATCAGATCCTAAGTCTTCTGACCCTAAACCCAGGGCCTTTCCACTACAACACATCGCCTCCATCAACACTTTGAAATCTACTAGGAGAAGGAGGTGGTGTTGTCTTTGCTTGGGACAAGGGGGCTGGCATAGGGTCACCTCTATAGAGGGAGCAGAGGGTGATACTTTGTCTAATGGATGATGGAAAGGGAGATCAAAACAGAAGCCTATTCTAGGGGTCAAGGAAGGATATTGGACAGGGAAAGCAGTTGAATGCTGGGAGTTTGGGAAGGGGGGAGTGCAAAATCAGAAAGATTCCATAATTCCTGTGGACTAGCAGACCTTACCACAAATTCATCAATATGACTTCAAAGGGCCCACAATTGTCCATCATCCTTACAGTGGCTTTTAGGGTTAACCTTATTACCCAGGTCCAATGTTCTGGGCATTTCTCTGACTTTGAGGAAATGTAGGAGGCAGAGTTGAACAAGGTAGAGGAGGCTTTCCTCAGGGCATCCCTCTCTGGGCCCAGGGGACTTGCCCCACCTCCCTCCCTCTCTACCCCAGGAAGAACAAGACCAAGATCCGATTTTGGAGCTGAGACTTCACCTTCAATTTGAGTCTGTCTTTTCCTGCCTGGTCTTCCCACTCCCAGATATCTTTCCAGCCTCACCCTGCAGTATGTCTTGCCTCTCTTCTCCCCCTCTCTGAAGCCTCCTCTGCCTCCTCTCTCTTCTCCCTCACTATGGGGCTTGTCTGTCTTTCCCTCCTCTTGTCCCTCCAGCCTCACCCTCTGGAATCTCTGGCCCCTCTTCCTCCCTGCCTCTCCCTGCCTTGGGCAGGCTCTGATTCTAGGTTTTAGTTTCTTCAGGGCATGCACATCTGGAGCCATAGTAATAGTAACATTTCTGCCTCTCTGGGCACTGCCCAGCCCTGTGGGTGGCACTGTTTGGCTTCAGCATGGAGACACAGAAAGGAGGTATGGGGCAGGTCCTGCTTTGTCAGCTCCTGCAGAAGGAGGCCAACGGGGTGAGGGCACAGAGGCCTGAGCTCCTATATCTGCCAGTGGAGAGGGAAGCTTGACTCTGAGGACGGCAGAGGGGACCCTCACACAGGGGGCTGTCCCCAAGATGCAGGCATATCTCTATGCATATAGTATTGTAGCACTGTGACTTTGGGCCAGTCACTCCTCTGCTCTAGTTTCTTTTCCCTCTCCTGTAACGTGACAAGGTTGGACTCAATGATGACGTCTAAGAACTCTCCCAGCTGCTAATGTTATGACTCTCAGGGTCTGGGAGGTCAGGGAGGGGAGATGTCCTGGTGGAAGAGGGACTGAGCCCAGCCTGACACTGAAGAGGCAGGAGTCACGTCGCAGGGGGATGAGCCACACCGCACCTCCCAGCCAGGAACATTGGCTAGGAGACACACGGATGGATGACAATAAGAGATTAGCACAGTGAGAGAGGAGGAGACAGAGACAAAGGAATGGTAGATGGACAGAAAATGAGATAGAGATAGAAAGTCACGGGCACACACATACAAAGACACAGAAAAATTAACTCCTCTTTGCTGTAGCCAGTAAGAAAAGTACTGAACAAGTGGCTGGAGAGACCTCAGGACCCCTACCTCTAAGTCCAGCCCATAACTGGTGACCTTGCCAGAACCCTCAGCTCCCATTCTGCTCCCCCATCCCATCCCCCAAGCCTTAAGTCAAGGCATCTGAATCAGTAGCTGGAAGGACTCCCATAGACTAGAAAATCTCAAATGGACAGACTAAGATCTCCAACGCAGTGCAGAGTTTGGTTGTTAAATGTGGGAGGGAGACAGATGGACACAGGAATATAGGACAAAAAGAAAGACGAGGACTCCCCTCAAGCCCAGTCCTGTTCTGTGGGCTTGGCAAGGGTCAAATAATCAGGGGAAAGGGTGGAGCAAGGACAAAGGGGATGAGTAGGGATCCTGAGCTCAGAGAGCCTCCATACCTTTCACTGGAGCTCTGCAGATCTTCCCACACAGGCCTACACAACACTTCTTTTCACCACGGCAATCTCCATCATGCTCACATGGGTTTGGATTCATCATTAAACACTGGAGTGACAAACCCGGGCATTTTCCTTCCTTTACTATATCTGATAAGGCCAAGGCCATGGAAAGTCAGAGGGTTTAATTTCTAGAACAATTCCCCCCAATTCAAGTTTGACTTGAGGCACTCATTTACTCCCCTGCTGGGCTAGCTGACCTTAAAACATCTCTCTCGTCCCAGGAAATCTGACACAGCTACAGTCTGGAGCTTCCACAGTATCCATATGTGCGGCCCTCCTTTCATTCCTGCTTGGAAATCTGCTAATCCCCTTCTGCCCCCAGCAGCCTCTGGAACCATGGCTCTCCTGCTCAGGCGTAGGCAGTGAAAGTATTATGATCCCATTTTATAGATGAGGAAGCCAAGACTAAAATTTGGACAGATTCTGGTGATTTACTCACCAGTAGGTGGTGGAGACAGTTCTTGAATTCTGGTGTCCTGACTCAAAGAACAGTAAACTCCACTGGAACATGCTGCCTCCCAGAGAAATAGACAGTGACAGAAAGACAATAGCAATAGAGATGGCAGCAGAGAAGCAGGCAGAGAGTGAGATAGAGGGTGAGATAGAGACAGAGACAGAGTGATGGAGAAAGGCTATGTTAGGAGCAAGAGAAAGAAGCTGGAGACAAAGAAAGAGTGACTGAGAGTAAGAATAAGCCAAAGGGTGAGACAGAGAATGAGCCTGAGACGCACAGAGTATGGGAATGAAGCTGGGAATCCTAAAACCTTAGATATTTCTCAAACAGCAGCCCCAGCTGGGACTGGGCCATGGGGAGGGACCACTGAGAGTCTTGGGGGATCTAGAAAGCTTTCTTCTTTGTCCAGAGAGCCCAAACTTTCTACTCCTAAAAGCTTAGCCTTGGTGGGACAGAGGGACTTCCTCAATCCTCCATCCAGCAAACTCTCCCTGGCCCTGACCTCACCTGTTTCTTTGTTTTGTTTTTTTTTTTATTTTGTGTCCCAAATGAAGCCAGGGACATCAGGGTGAGGAGTACCATGAGGAAGAAAAGGCTGCTGGGCTTCATGGTGAGGACAGGAGCTCTTGGGTAACTGGTGCAAGGGCTTGGCATTTATATCCCCCTCAGTGGATGTGATCTCCAGAGAATTGCATCAGGGATCATCTTTACTCTCTAGGGTGGGGCTTCACAAGGAGGAAGCCTTGAACAAGCCTAAAATGTTGACTGTCCTTTTCCCTGAGGCCCAAGAGGAAGGGATGGGGCTAGTACTGCTGGGTTAGAGAGAGAGAAAGAGGAAAGAGAGGCATAGGCTAAGTCAGACAGTCCTTAGCATTTACAGTTCATTTTACATGCAAAAGAGTTTGGCTTGGTTTGATTTCAAAACACCTGAGTTAGAAATGAGTGACCTTAAACAAGTCATTTCCCTATTCTGGGACTCAGTTTTCTCATTTGTCAAGGTCCCTTCCAGCACTAGAGCTATGATCCTATTTTCACTAAGGTCCCTTCTGACTTTAAATCCTGTCCTTCAGTGGTCAACAATCTACACAAGCTAAGTGCTTTAGTGGCTGGGGTGAGTATCCTTTCTGTGCTGTGGCTGGTAAAACCTCCTTTTATTAACTGTTGAATAACCTTTGAGCTTCTCATTTCACCTTAATGAACCAAAATGAACCAGTTTCAGGCCTGAGTCAAGCCCTCCCATCCCCCCTGCAGAAGGGGTTAGGACCTAGTCTTGATGCTGGCCTCTCTGTAGCATGTCTTCCTGTCCTTCCTGGTGTTATGACACCCCAGTGTCCATGTGTCCGGGGGACCAATGGCGAAGCATGTTATCCACCTCCTGCCAGAGAGGTGAGAGACACCAGGAAAAGATAGAGATGTGGATGTAGATACAGATGCAGATATAGCTATAGATATGTCTGAACATGGCCACTGTGTGAATTCACTTTGCTTAACTATATCTATTTATTAAACAGATTTTTCTCTCTTTAATACTATTTTTATTTGAGCAGATATGTCAGGGATAGAGAATAGCAATAGTGATGCCCAAGAAAGATGGCCTTTGAAACAGTTTACTAGATGCACAGAAGAGAAAAGAAAGATACTTAGAAGAAAAGACAGACAAGTAGGACAACTTGTAGCCACATGCAGAATATATTAAATATTTTTTTTAAATCAAGTGTTTTGGGGCAGCTAGGTGGTGCAGTGGATAGAGCTCTGGCCTTGGAGTCAGGAGGATCTGAGTTCAAATCCAGCATCAGACACTTGACACTTACTAGCTGTGTGACTCTGGGCAAGTCATTTAACCCCAATTACCTCACCAAAAAAGCAAAAAAAAAAAATCAAGTGGTTTGTAATCTCAGTTCATAATTTCATATAGAATTGCTTTTATATTCTTCTATGTACATGGAAATACTCATTATTGGTTCAGGTTCTGAATATTTTTTAAAAATAAATCAACTCACCAATGTCTGATTTCACAACACTTCCTATACTTTTGGAGAGTGCACCTTTATTGGGAGCCCAGTTTTGGGTTCTAATCTTGTCACCGTCACTCATTTACTGCATGACACTGAGCATATCAATGAATTGCTTTGGTTTCCAGTAATAGCATCTCCTCTGATTACTTCACTATGACATAATGGTTAGGAAAGGCTTTTGGAATATCAAAAGCCAATGAGATTGGAACTGATTCCTGAGGTGGCCTAAGGGGTAAATTAAAGCTCAAAAGAAGAAAGATTTGGCATCAAAACAGACTCAAGTCATGGGCCTGCCCACTGGCATAGAAGAATTTGTAAATAAGGCTGATCTAAGTCCGACCAAGATGGCCTCTATAATTGTACCAGATACTTGGAAAGGCTGACCTGGGTGTATTTTTTTTCCTTAATTAACCTATATTTGCCTATATTAAAGTAGATTATCAAATGAAAGACAGCATGACACAGTGGATAGAATTTGTCATCAGAAGAGGCAGAGGCAATATGGTGGAAAAGTAGGAAGTCAGACAGTGAGCTCCTTCCTCCACCCCCCAAAAAAATCCCACCTCCAAATAGATCCAGAAAATGTGCCAGACTGGATCCTAATGTTGAAAGCCAGAAAAAAAAAAACCAACATTGAGTTATTTGTTCAGCTTAGGTTGGCATAGGAAGACAGATGGAGAGCTCTATAGGGACTGGGGGTGGGTTCTAGCCACAAACACACAGCAGACTGAGGACCCCAGTGCCCAAGGAATGGCTATGCACCAGCGTAAGAGGAAGTCCCAGACACATCAAGGAGCACAGCATGCAGAGGACTGGACAGCTGCTAACTGGAAGCTTTGGCACCCATTACCCAGTTCTGGGTCACCAAGACTCAGATGTCCACCAAGAGCAGACTGAGAAAGGGACCAGTGCCTGGGGGTGGTGTTCCCAGGTAGAGAGTCCCAGGGTGGTGCACAGAGAACAGAGCCAGCTCAGAAGCAGCAGCAGTGGTGTGATTCAGACCCCCAGGAACAGAGCAGAGTCTCAATGCCAACTTCTAGCCCAGACTGAAGCCTACGGAGGAATAACCAGGCAACGAATACTCCAAAAAAGGGGACCCTAGCATTCTTTCACTCTAAACCAGTAGATCACATCACAGATCCTGTCAAGAAGACTTTTTTTTTTAAGTACAATATATTGAATCCCAAACTTAGACTTTAAGGATATGGCAACTAACGCCTTGTGCTGAAGGAAGTGGGATGGCTGGGTGGCAAAGTGGATAGAGTATTGGACAGAATCAGGAAGACCTGGATTCCAAGCCTGCCTCAGATACCAGTCAGCTATATGACCCTCACTTTATGTCTCTTAGCCTCCATTCCTCATCTGTAAAATGGGAATAATAATAATAATAAGCACCTACCTCCTGGGATTATTGGGAAGATCAAATAAAGCACTATGTAAATGTTAAAGCTCTATAGAAATGCTAGATATCATTATTACTACAGACAGACCCCAAGGCAAGAGAGCCCAAGAGGAGTAGTGTGGCCTGGACTTCCTGGAAGTCCTGGGTACAAGTTGGGATTCTGCCACTCCCTAGGAGAACTTTGATCTTGGGCAAATCCTTTCCCCTCCGTGGGCCTTAGTTTTCTCATCTGTGTGATGGGGGGTTGAAACCAAGGGTCTCTGAGGTCTCTCAGAAAGTCAGTTCTTGCAATCTAAGATTTATGCTCCAAATATTATCCATGGTCCAGGGCCACCAGCAAACACACCTGGACTCATTCTGAAAATTCTGACCATAAAGGGATAAAGTTCTTTCTCTCTGGATCGTTCATGCCCTCACCTGGGGATCTTGAGTTTCCATATATGTTGACAACAATATGCCCTCCCATAAAGGTTTTTGAGAGACAATTTGGTTATCAGATATAGGACAGATTGCTATTTCCTCTGCCACAGAACCTGAATAAGACACATAGTACCCAGACACTCATAAGCACATATAAGAAACATAACAACCTAATAGCCCATTACCCTTATTAAATTCCACCAAAAGTAAAGACATGCTACACTGATCAAATGTCAGCCATTTGCCTCACAGTGCCACTGTCCAAACAACTCAGAGAAATATCCTGGACTATTGGCGAGGTCCAGACCTCCTGCCCTGGCATGGCTTTAGTCCTTCAGCTCCACAAGGCTTCTGGCAGTGCTCTTGTCCTCTTCAGAGAAGGGCTCTGGTCAAGACATTTTCTCCCTCCAGGTTCCTGGTGCCAGGTTCTCAAACTCAGAAGTTCTTGAACTCAAGATTACCAATGATTTTAACCCTAGAGGCTGAAAACATCTACTTGTCAGCATTGGTCATCATCAGCCTGTGCTCCGAAAAGGAAACAGAAAGATAAACCAAGCCCACCAAGAACTGGAAAGTCTAGGAAACAGCACAGGCTCTTCAAGGAAAGCCCGTGTTTCTCCTTGCTGTGTGTTTCTGCCTGAAGTCACTTCAGGGAGAAATGACTATTCCTACTGTATCCTCTTACTGCACTGTAGTCTAGAAATCCAAGAGAGAGGAAGTATGAGGAAAAGAGATCCCCTCCCCCCAGGGTGGGGGTCATTTCTCCTCTGTCCAAGAGACCTCAGGGGGAGGCAGCACCTCCAATGAGAGGCTATTCTCCTGAGCCTCGGTTAGCCAGTCATCCTGGTACCGCTCAGTAAGGATGAACCAATCAGGGGAGGTCACTGTGTCGTCTCAGCAAGGGCCTAGGGGCTATACCAAGTTTCATGGGATGTGCCCCCTTCCTACAAAAGTCTATACCATATTATCTCATCAAGTGAATTGAAAAAACAATAAAAACTGATCAGGGGCCCTCCTGAACACTTCTTCTAGGTAAGGTTCCCAGCAGTTGACAAGCTATGATTTCTAGGTTCCAGGGTAGGGGCTGGATAAATGACATCAAAAGGTTTTGGTCCTATACCAAGTTCTGGCCAAGGAAAGGACCACCTCCTGATTCCAACCCCTCTCAGCTGCAGAAAGGAGAGAAAATGCAGACAGAGAGACTTCATTCATCATCTCATCTTCATCAGAACTTACATGTCTTCAGGTCAGGGCCTCAGGCTCCCTGGGATCAAAATGGTTCAGCCAAAACCCCACTGAGAACCACAACCAGTCAGACAGAGGTGTCTTTTGACATCAACCAATGAGACACAGGTACCCAATTCTTAAACCAACCAGACAGAAGATATCTGATATGCCAACCAACGAGGCACAAGTGTTCATTGCTCCCAACCAATCATGCCCAGGAAGAATATCAATAGGAAAGCAAGAGAGGGGGTCATCAGTGTCAGTGACTTTTCAAACCAGATCCCTTCTAGGTTCTTGGCAATTGAAAGGTCTTCATTTATCATTCTTTCCCTCCACTGGGAAAGTACAAGTGCATAAAGTTCATTCCACAGTCCCCCAGGGAAAAGTACCCATTTCCTGTGTAAGTTGACCCATTCCCATCTTCACTTCCCAAGAAGAATAGGGAAAGATCCCTTCCCCTGGAGCCTCTCCAAAGATCAAGGTTTATCATGGATCTGACAGCTGGATTCGACTTCAGAGATCTCCTAACCTAGCTCTTTTATTTTATAGATGAGGAAAATGAGGCCCAAAGAGAGAAAGGTGTTTGCCCAAGGTCCTAGAGCCAGTTAATGACTATATGAACTAGACACCAGAACCACCAATTGAATCTTGTCTCTTAAAGCATTCTCCATCCTCTAGGGATCTGGCCCTGCTCTGGCTGCAAATGAATTCACCAGCATCCCTATACCCTGGGTCACCGAGGAGGACAAGCCTTGGTAATTTTCAGGAAATTCAACCCTTTATTGCTCCCAACCCAAGTGAAAAATATCACAAGGCAGGGACTCTGTCCCCCAGCAGACTTACTGTCTTGATCCTTTTGAGCCTCTATCATTTTCCAAAACAATTGATCTCTTTCACGTCTGGCCTCTTTGAACTTGATAATTTTCTCTACTAAAAGGAGAAAAAAAGAGAGAGATGGCTCATGCTGTAACTAAGTCAGAAAGGAGCAGGAGGAAAAGAGCCAGAGCTACAAAGACACCAAAGTCTGATGGAAGGAGCTCTGGCCTAGGAGTCAAGAGGCCTGGGTTCCCTTCCCCATTCTGCCCCTCACTAGCTGTACACAGGAGAATTCCATTCACTCTGAACTTCAGTCTCGTGCTCTAAATGATGGTGTTACCTTAGATGACCTTACAGCCCCAACTATCCTTCAGTCTGTAAAGAGCACAGAATAAAAAGGGCTCCCTCCCAAGAAGGAACCTCTTGTAAGAGGGATCTGGTACCTGTTTCCTTGTCCAGCTTTGGCAAGTCAGGGTTCAAAGCATCCATGCATTTCTTGCCGCAAATGCCTGGGCAACACTTGAGAGTTCCGAGGCAGTCTCTGTCCCTATGACATTTGGAGGGGGGATTCGGGGAGGAACAGCTATATACTATCTCTGGACAGGTTCCCCGCTTCCCTGTGGAGAACACAGATGCAGGATGGCCCAGGTGAGAGACAAAATTCTGGCATCATAGGATTTAGAGCTGAGCTGGAAGAGAACTTACAACATGGACTACACACCTAAAAGTCTCTTGGATTTCAGGAGGCTTTACAAAATTCACAGTTGTCTCACCTTGATGGAGTAAGTCTGATACCCATAGAACTGGCACCAAAGACAATCCAGGGCTGGTGATTCTGCCTGGCTTCCTCCCTGGCCTGGTTGAGGAGTGACTGTGGAAGTTCTGTCCTAACTGTTTCTGGGGATGGTGCCAACTCTTCCCTTGAATGGGAGCATATCACCTCCCTCTGGTTTGGTGCCTCAGATGCATGGGAAGTGTTTGGCCTTGGAGTCTGCAAACCTGGGTTCTGGTCCCAGCTCCAAGATTTATGGGTCATGTGACCTTAGGCAAAATCATCTCTTTGGGGACCTCCATTCCACATCTGCAAAATGACTATAATAATCCTTGTAACACTCACCTTACAGGGTCTTTGTGAGGCACATGCTTTCTAAGTTCCTAAAAGTATTAAAGAAATGTGAGGTGTGATGATGATCATTCTGGTAATAGTAGAGCCGCCCTCACCAGATTTTATTACATACACAGGGTGTAAGGCCCCAGCAATTATCAAGACCATTCAGAGAAGGCTTGACCTTTGCCCTTTGCCCTTCCTTCCCCCACAACACCCTCCAAAGGTTGACTTTCACCCTGATTTCAACTAGCCAATAATGAGGCTTTGTGTGTGTTTTCTGGATAGTTCTCAGACAGGGAACTATGATTTATTTATTCCAACTGAACACCCTATACCCCACAACCTGCTTAGAAAAGCCCAACCTCCAAACTTTTGCCACCCTCTTCTCCCCATATACTTGATTAATTCATATGCCTCCCTTTTTCCAAAACCTGGCTTCAAGCTCATCTTTTTGGGAAAGCCTTCTTTAATTATCATAGAAGCATATAATTTTAGAGCTGGGAAAAGAGATTATCATCTATTCACTTTATAGGGGAGAAAGCTGAACCCCACAGAAGCATCTTGTCCAGACATGCTAATGGAAGATCTGTGACCAGAACTCAAATCCCCCCATGTCTAGGCCATGGCTCTTTCACCTTACTGTGCCCACCTACTCAACCCAGAGCATTCTCTGAAGCCTTCACTGGCATGTTATCCCTATTCAGATTATATGATATTCCTCTCTACCCACCCGGACTTTCCTTGGTTAGCAAATCATGCCCTCTATGTTTCAGGGAGGTAACTCTGGTTCAGCTGGTGTTAACAAAGCCTGGAAGTTTCTGTATAGGGAAGTAACTAAGTGGGGGTGTCCAGGGCTTTCCCACGGGTGCCAATATAGGTTGGGACCTGGTTCTTTCTGCATAACCCTGACACCAGTGCCCCAGACCCTTCCTTATCCCAGGCTGACTCCCCACATGGCTGCCTTCTGTGACTACACTGACCTAGAATCCTCTTCTTCCTGTGCCTCAAAGATTTTGTCTCCAGGCAGAAAGGAGTCCTCATTGCAACCCTGCTCCTTTATATGTAATCAGTTCATAATCACTACCAACAACCCTCCTACCCCCAACAGACCTGAGTTCAAATCCTGCCTCAGATACTTACTAGCTATGTGACCCTGGGCAAGTCACTTAACCACTCTCAGTCTCAGTTTCCTCATCTATAAAATAAGGAGGTTGAGTTGGTGGCCATCTGAGATCCCTTGTAAATCTAAATCTAAGATTCTGTGATTCTACCCCCAACATGACTGTGATACAGGAACATAGGATTAAAGCCACAGGGCTCCTTAGATACTTTTTATCTTCTAGTCAGAGCCCTCCATTTTACAGATCACAAATCTGAGACCCATCAAACTTAAGTGACTTGCCCAAGGTCACATCAGCAATAAGGAGCAGAATGGGGTTTGAGAGCCAGGTCCTCTGAGCCCACAGGCAGAGCTCTTTCCACTATACAGAAGGGATTCAGAGAGTCATAGGGAATCAGAGAATTGAGGGGCAGTTAGGTAGTACAATGGATAGAGCATAGGCCCTGGATTCAGGAGGTCCTGAATTCAAATCCAGATGCAGACATCTGTATGACCCTGGGCAAGTCACTTAACCCCGATTACTTCAAAAAAAAAAAAAGAATCAGAGAATTATAGGATCTCAGAGTTGGAAAGGCCCTCACAGGTTAGTCTGGTCCAACCTATGACCATGAATTTCCTCTACAGTCATCCTGGTGGGGTAAGGGCCCAAGCAGAAACCTTTGCCCCTCACCCTAAAAAGAATTTGGGTCCCATTTGTCTATAGGCACCAGAAAACCCTTAAACTTTCCTTGAACTCACTTACTTGGTCAAAGAACTCTCAAGCTGTTGCCTGAGGCTATAAACCACTCAACTGGCCTTTCCTTATCTGTCTAGGCCCAATCTCCCAATTCTTTGTTATCCTAATTAAGCCTAGCCCTCCATTGTCTATTCTCTGATGACCCCATTCAACCTCCCAGACATTCCCATTGGGATTCTCCCAGGACCCTTCCCCCCAGTCACCCCAGCTTCAAGATCCTCCCTAAACTCCTCTCTCAGTCACCCTAGCTTCAAGATCCTCCTTCCAGGCCCTCCTCTGGTCACCCCAAACTACTTGGCTGTATATAAGATCCATCCTTGCCATCATTTAGGGGCTGAGACTTCCTCATGCCCATTCATCCTTAAAGGCATCACAAATGGTCAGATTCCTTAAGAGTCAGGCCTATATGGATCATCTTTAATAAACCTTGCCTTTGACTGAAAGAAGACTTGGGTTGAATTCTTTCAAGCAGGACCTACATGGTGTGATTTTGGGCTCCAAGAACCCCTAAACCTCTAGACCTCAACAATCCAACCTCCTCTTTAAGCACCTCTGGTGATAGAGAGCTCACTACCTCTCAAGGCAGCTCATTCCATTGTTGGACAGCTATAATTATGAAGAATTCCCTTTCTTTTCTTTCCTAAAATTTACTTTCCTCTAACTCCTCCCTTTCTCCCTCCCCCAAAGATCCTAGTTCTCCCTCTGGGGCCAAGTAGAGTTTAATCCTCCTTCTCCTTCCTTTATGTGCCCAACTCCCCTCCCTCCACCCCAGCTGCCCCAGGGCCAGACTGAACTGAGCTCTTTACCTGAGTGAGGTCTGAGGCACTGCTTTCCACAGGCTCCTGGACAGCACTTGTACAACCCTCGACAGTCTCCATCACAGGTACATGCGTCTGACGGAGTCTTCTTCCCACACTGGCCTTGAATGTCTGGGCAGAACCCTGGCTTCACTTCTACTTAGGAGAGATATGAATAACTTGAGGTCAGAGGGAGAACTTACTGGCTGGATCCAATCTCTAAAAGTTAAATTCCATCACCTTTCACATTTGGTTTTCACAAAAATTCTAAGAGCATGACAAGGTCTCTCTACACTAGAGAGGAGAAAACTGAGGCACAGAGATGACAACTGAGCTAGGGTGAGTCTTCATTTTCAGATGGGGAAACTGAGGCCTAGAAAGGCAAAGCAACTTGCCTAACACTGGAATCCATCCCATTCTTTCCACAAAATTGAGCAGAACCAAGACCAGTCAACTCAATTCTTTCCAGAGGAGTCATGCCTCCACCTTCTCCTGTGAGCAATATCTGGTAGTGGTCACTTGTAAAAAGAGCTAAGATATGAGGGATAAAGACCAGATGGGGCTGGAAGTGAGCTACACTTACCTGACAACCTGTCTTCTACTGTATACTTACAGTCAAAGTGACAGTAATAGAAACAGCATTTCTGTTTGCCACTGCACTCTTCATCGCTCTGGCACTTGGCCTCATAATGCCTTCTGCAGAGGGCATTATCTTCTGGACAGGTGCCTGGTTTTGTGGACCCTAAGAATGGGAGAAGGGAATGGTGACTAGTCCTTGAAGGTTTCCCTCCCCACCCAGTAAGCAGCCTAAGGGACTAAAAGAGCATCCCCCATCACATCATCTCTCCTTATGGGCCTGGTTCAGATTCCTGCAGATAGGAATCATCCTTGTACTACCTAGCTGCCTCCCAAGGTACCTCTGAGGAAAGTGCTTTGCAAACCTTAACATCCTAGAAAAATGGAAATTATTCCTCACCCCCCTCCCCAATCCCTCCTCTGCTTATTGCCTCATACCAGGAATCTCCTTCCCTTTGGTTCTCAGCTTCCTGAGAGGTAAAGTGAGACTACATGATTCCTTCTAACTCTGACATTCCACATGCTAATATTTTCTTTGAATGCTCTGGGAGTCTGTGCCTTTTATCCTACCCAGAGAGATGAGGCAGAAAATATAGCTTCCTGCACCAAGAAGGTTCAGGTACTCTCATTCCCAGTGAGGGGCAAGAATAAGGCTAGGTATAATTTACATTTAATTAGTACCTGACAGTTATAAAGCACTTTATGCCTGTTATCTCACTTGGTCCTCCCAACAACCCCATAAGGAAGGTAATAAAGCAGTATTGTACCCATTCTAGAGTCAAAGAAACTAAAGCTTAGAAAAGTTCAGTGATTAGAACGTTGAAAGTTGGGAATGAAAAGGATCTTGGAAATCATTTCTCTAAATCAATGCCCCCATTTCACAGCTGAGGATGCTGAATGGGGGTGTCTTGTCAAAGCTCATACATTTTCTTGGTAATGGATGAACAGAAACCACAGCTTAGATCTCTGACTCCTGGTCCAGTCCTCGTCTCTCATTATACCATGAAAATGAAGGATCTCAGAGTGTGGGGCTTGAGAAGGAGAAGGAGGTTGTGTTTAGGATCAGGGGGAATTATCTGAGGCAGGGGGGAGATGAATCCCACCCTCCATTCCCAATAGCCTCTGGTTAGTTTGAGGTCAGACCCATCCTTCCATTCACCTGTCCCTGGAAATATCCCTGGCTTGTCAAGTCACTGGGGACAGCATGCTCCCTCCATGCAGCCATGAGCTGCCCTGACTACTCCAAAAGGAGGACATTATTGGAGGCACTCACCCTTTTCAAGAACAGGCTTATATGTCCAAGTCCAAGACACAAAGAGAAGCAAAATGATGGAGAATAGACCACTGAAGTGCATGGTGCTTGCTGGAGTGAGAAGCCTATGAGGGGCAGGGACAGAGGCAGAGTGCCTGAAATTTACCGTGGCTCTGGGTGTGGGGCAGTCTAGGGGCGGGACCCTCTCACCTCCTGCCTGGGGCAACAATGGTTGCGTAACACCATGAGGGAGGCCCTGTAGCCCACAGCACTTGCCTACAGTAGGTAAGGAGAGAATAGAGGAAGTCTCTGGGAGGCTCCTGACAGATCCTTCCCCTGGGAAGGAACAGAAGGCTAGGCAAATTTCCCCCTACTGCACTGGAAAGAGGTCTTGACTTGGAGTCTTAACTCTCACACTCTGTTGTGGGGTCTTGGGCAAATTGCAACCTCTCTGAGCCTCAGTTTCTGAATCTTTAAAACGAGAGTAGTAGTGCTTAAATCAGCTACCACAAAGTCTCGTTGTGAGAAAAGCACTTTGTAAACCTCATACTTCCAAAGAAATGTGGTTACTATTACCACCACTCAGAGAGTAGAGCTCAAACCAGCTCTAGAGAGGCAATTGTTAAATTTTCAGTGTGAACATTTACACTTCAGAAATCAACAGAAGGGGGTAGCTAGGTGGTGCAGTGGATACAGCACTGGCCCTGAAGTCAAGAGGACCTGAGTTCAAATCTGGCCTCAGACCAAACACTTGACACTTACTAGCTGTGTGACCCTGGGCAAGTCACTTAATCCTAATTGCCTATATATATATATATTTATTTATTTATCAACAAAAGTAACAAGTCAAGGCTTGATTTATTATTTTATTCATTGTCCAGACTTACAAAAACAATAGAGAATATATAGATTAATGTGCAGATTAAATTTAAAAGCATGACATGAGTACTTTTTTTTAATAACTAGTTGTTAAACACTTGCCAGCAAACCCCTACCAATTCCTCTATCTCTGGCTAAAAGGTCAAGGTGAGCAATTTCCATTGGCAGAATCACGACAACTAACCTTTCTATAACACTTTAACATTTGCAAAGCACTTTACACATGTTATTTAATTTGAGTCTCACTATAAATCTGTAAGGTAGGTGCTATTATTATGCTCATTTTAAGGAAGAGAGGATAAGAGAGATTGTGTGATTTACCCAGGGTATACCCAGCAAATAAGTGTCTGAGGCAGAATTTGAATTCAGCTCATCCTGATTCTAAGTCCACAGTTCTAAATATGACCCATAACTGTCTAAATGGTGAAGGAAGGTCTCAGTGTTCCCCCCAAAAATCCTGCCTACTCTGGCTGAAGGAAATTCTACCCATAGACTTTCATTCCTTTGATGTAGAACTTTATTTCTTAACTAGCCCTAAATTATCATTTAAAGTCTCCTAGGAAAAGTCACACTGTGAACTATTAACACTCATTGGCAGAGCCAAGATGGCAGAACAGAAGTCGTAAAGTAGCAACCCAACCAGGATCTTCTCACATTCCCCTCCAAACAACTTTATAATCAATGTGTCAAATATCGTTCTGGAATGGTAGAGTCAACAAAAGGTAGGAGTGAGTGAGACATTTTTCTAGCCTATGACAAGTTAGGAGGTTACCATAAAAGGTCTGGGACATGGAGGGGAGGAGGGGGCAGAGCACAGGTGGCACCAACACCGGGGTGGGTCTTAGAGGTAACTGCAATAGCATCAGATTTAGTTTGGAAGCTCTCAGCCAACTGCTCAGAAAGAGATGAGAGGGGACCCTGAACTGGCATAGGGTGCAGGACCCTGAGCAGGACTACCCCAGCACAGTTTCACATCTCAAATCCAAGGCAGAGAGAAAAACTAGTCCTTCAGGCTACAGGGGAACAGGGACCCTTGTCTCAGTTTCAGGACCAAGAGGATTGTTTGCACTTGTGACTGCAGAGGAGCAGAGGCCTTTCCTGGGTAAAGATCAGAACACAAACCAGGAGAACAGGGACCACATTTCTTCCCTGATCACATCACCTTAAAAGCACCAAGAGCTTACAGACTCCCAGAACTAGCTCTGAAAACAGCAGCAAATAAAAGATTGAAGCTTGGTACAGCACCCCACCCCTACCCAAGGAACAGAGCTCAACTAACAGAAAGTTAAAAGTCAAGAAATAGGCTGGAAAATGAGCAAACAAACAAATAAAAATAATTTGACCATAAAAAGCTGCTACAGTGGTAGGGAATATCAAGACACAAACTCAGAAGAAGACAACATGAAAACAGCAAAGCCTCAAAAGAAAAATGCTAGATACACTGGATACAAGCCCAACAAAAATTCCTGGAAAAGCTAAAGAAAGAGATAAGTGTGATAGAGGAAAAATTGGGAAACACTTATTGACACTTTAAACGTGAATGAAGAATCTAAGAGAGAAGAGGGAGAAACCTTGACCCCCAATACTCCAGCCAGTATTGCCTCCCTTGTTATGAGCTAGAGTTATACACCTCTAAGTCAATCCAATCTGTCCTACTAGAAAGTACCCTGGAGAGAAAGGAAGACAGAGCTGTAGTTCAGGGAAGGGAATGTGTTTGAAGTCCTAGCACAGTCCAAGGTGATGATAGGTGAGAACTAGGGTCACCCTCAAACCGGGATGTTCCCCAAGCTTTCAGAGTCCCAGGCTTTCAACCCCACTTCTGACGACTTTCCTCCTTATGATCTCTGTTTTAGCCTCATTAGTCAAATGACACCCTCACCCTACTTCACTATCCCTTCTTGAAACTTCTGCTCAAAACTTAACCCTGCCAAGATGTTTTCTTATATTAGCTCCATTCCACTCTGTTCATTGCATTAATGATGACCACTCTGCATCCCTCAGATTGTCTTATGCTACATGTACTATGTTAGCTATTGGATGATGTATGATGGTCTTTAGATTCAGGAGGAATGGAACTTTTGTAAAGTATATATGGACTAGGCATTATAATGATAGCCTTTCTTCAAGTACTTCCCCATTGGTCAGCTATCTTGCCAACAAATCCTGTAAAACTATTATGTCAAAATACAAACCACTCTAGGAGGGTCTCATTTTTCCTCTGACATGCCTAAGCAGGGGTCCTGAACTATTTTTTTTTTTTGGTGAAGAAAAATATTTTTAAATTCAAAGAATAGAATACAAAGGATAAAAAGCAAACCAATTATATTGAAATATAAATTTACCTGATAGACAGTAAACTCTGAGGTAACCTAGACCATCCCCCCCACCCCCACCTGAGGCAGGAAGCTCTTTGATAAGATTCCTGATAAGTAACCAGTCATCCAGTCTCTGCCTAATACCTCCATGTTCATGTGAGTCCGATTGCTCAGACATTCTCTTTCACTGAGCTAAGATCTGCCTGTCTGTGGCCAGTGGTTTTAGTTCTCCCTTCTGGCACCAAACAGAACAGGTCAATTCCCTCTTCCCCAGGACAGCTCTTCAGCTACTTGAAGGCAGCTGCCAAGTCTGTCCCACCCTCCACCGCCAAGTACTCTCCAAATAAAATATCCCTGGTGCTTTCATCTAACCTATGCATGCCATGGTTTCCAGTCTCCTATTTCTTCTTCCTTCTCCTCCCCTTTACTGACTCAACTGTCCCTTGACAGTTTCACTGATAGCCATTGTGTTTGTTGTTTCTCTAACCTTTTTACAGGTGTCCAACCTTGGTCTTGGGTGCAGGGGGGAGGGAAGGAACCAGTGCCAAAGCAGGGCACACTGACAGCCTCAATCCTGCTCCTGATTATCAGAGAGGACCAACTGCTTGTAGGGAGAGAGAGGGGCAGAACAGACTGAGAGGGGACAGAGAAGATAAGACCTCCACCAGGTCCCTCTTTTCCCTGCTCCCTGAGGGTGTCCCCAGTCCTACCACAGCCTGATAAAACATGAGAAAGAGAATCTTTGGATCAGATAGACTTGGACTCATTCAATCTTAGAATCAGAACTAGACTCACAGAGTTTTAGACTAATAGTCCCTGAATGGGATTTGATTCTGTGGCATTGACAACTGTGAACTCAGAATCTGAAACCCATAAATTCTTCAAATCTTAGTAAAAAGGAACCTTTAGAGATCATCTGGTCCATTCCCTACTTGAAGTATGATGCTGAGTCCATTCCCCTCCTTCCCATCATGAAGGCACTGCCTCCTTTAACAGTAGCTGTCTGACAGATGTAAAACCTCTGGATGGAATCAGAGCTATACTATTTCCCCACTAAATATGTGGAGATGATCACTAGGGCTCCTCCCCCTATGGCATGAACTTAGCCACTCCTCTTTAGTCCGAAACTCCCAGGCCAGGTGCCTTATGTATCTGCCTCTATCCCACTACCTCAACCCTATCCTAGCCAAAGCAGGGTCCAACCACAAGTAATTTGGGGATAGTGTTGAGAGAAAACTGCAGGCAGATAAACCAAAAACTGGATCCTTCTATACAGTCCCCAACCCTCTGGCACTCAGGCCTGGCTTGGCAACAACCAGTGGGACAGATAAATTCTAGTCGTATTTGAGGGTTGCTCAAAGATTGACCCACTCTAAAATCATAGGAATCAGAGTTGGATTGGAAAGAACCTTGGAATATAGAGGGTAGAATGCCAGAGCTGGAGGAGACCTTAGTACACAAAGTGTCTGAGCTAGAAGGAAACTAGTCCAACTCCCTCATTTACAGAGGAGAAAAGTGAGACCCAGAAAGAGAAAGTCTCTTGCCTTAGGCCTTTCCTAAAGTTAGTAGCAGACCTGTCCATCAAACTCAGTTTTCTGACTCCAAACCCACTCTTCTTTGCACTGTTTACTTTCCTTTCCGGACCTGGGAAAGACCTTAATTTAAAAAGACCAAGGTCTCCCACTGCATCTGGAGCCATCTCCAGTCATCCATGTCTTGCCATCTATGGCCATCCAGCCATGTCTTGCCACTGGACTCTGATGACTCTGGAGGAAAGTGAGGCTGATGACTTTGCACAGCCCTGCCTTACTTAAATCCAGTTCACTTGCAAGTCAAGACATCACCCTCCTTATGTCATTAGTCCTCTTCCAGGAAAAAGGATGAACAACAGCACCAATCATCCTTTCAGGAGATAGCAGGGATGAGGCAACATGGTGGGTGGAGTCAGGGAGCCCTGGGTTCAAGAGCAGTCTCTGATCCGTGCTGGCTGGATGATCCTCCGAAAACTTCTTAGCAACCCAGGCATCTCTCTAAGACTATGAGGTGTAAAAATGGGTAGGAAGCTACACTAGTAGAGGGAATTTGTCTCACTGGGTGTTCCTTACGCCAAGGAAATCACAGTCTTGCCCAAAGAGAACAGAAAGCTACAGATTTAGGAATTGGCATCTGACCGTGGAAAAATGGGGGAAGGATACTGGGCTGCGGGTCTCAGAGCCCAGAGCAATCTTGTTCTCCCTTTCTGTTTGCCAAGATACTCAGCATCCCTTTCTTTGAGCAGGGAGGTGCTGGTCTTGGCGGCCTCGCCTAGGCTGGACCAAACAGTAGTTCATCGCGCCACCTGGTGGCCGTAAAGGAAGCCTGAGGCAGAAAAAAAATTGTCAGCTCCTCATCAGTTTTAATGGGCTGTTGATCCTCGAATGCGGGGGCTGCCCTGGGGATCCCAAACTTTCTCCGACCTTGTGAACAAGTCACATCATAGTCTTTGGGGCCTGGGGATGAGTTCTGCTAGATTTGATTCATGTCTCCACTGAGCCCAGGGAAGGGAAAAAGTGAGTGAATTTCAGTCCTCCGACAGGAAGAAAAATGGCATGTGGAACCATGTTTGCTAACAAAGGCTGCACAACTCTTGTGCTTTCACCTGGACTAATCTCCGGGACAGAGTGGAGGACATTGAAGACCAGACAGACCCTCGGGCAGTTAGGATGCGCTGAACAGGGGTAAGTTGTGGCTAAGACGAATAGAACTGTTCACAGGCGAGAGAGCATAACATCTAGAACCAGAAAGCACCTTAAAGATCATCTAGTCCACCAACTCTCTGGTTTTGCAGACGGTGAAACTGAGGCCGAGAGAGAAAAGTGGGTTGCCTAACGTCTCACAGCTAGCAAGTGGTGCACCCTAAATTCGAACCGAGATTCCAGACCCAGTGTTCTTCGTCTCTGACTCAGTAGCCTTTCACACATTCAAACCTCAGTTTTTTTCCGAAAGGTAACCTGCAGGGGAGAAAACCGGTTTCAGTCGGCTGTCTTAACAGCTCGGCCAGAACTACAGGCTCCCTCGGAGGTCGCTGAGAGGAAAACTTCCTGCTCCCGTTTGCCTCTCCCCTGCAACAGGTCTTTAGCCCCAGCCCCAGCTCAGTTCATAAGGAGTCATCTGTTCTCCATTGAATAAACAAAATGCTGGGAAGCAGGCCCCGCCAGCCTGTCCCCCACACAAAGAGCCTTTCTCCTGGGGAGACGCCCCGGCGCCGAGCAGCTTGGTGTGGCTGGAGGCGGGGACTGGACTCCACTCTCCACCAGCGGTGAGGTACTGGGTGACCCTCGCGGAATGGGGAGTGATGCCCGGCCCACCCGCTTTCTAGCGGTAGAACAGCGGGGCTAGACACTGGACCGACAGACACACTTACGAAAGCAACTGAAGGAGAGATGAGGTTTTTATTTAAAAAAAAAATAGAAAAAAAATACATAAATACACAGTGAATGGAAGGGCCTGGACCCCGGCCAGAGGTCACTGTCATTGGAGTTCCGACGCCGAAATTGCGGCGAACCCAAGCTTTTTGTAGGTGAAGCCTGCGCAGCTCTCTGCTAGCCTGAGTCTCATTGAAGCATGCGGCAGCGACACAGGCCTCTGGTGCTTTTCCAGCACGCTCGCCCATTTGTGGAGCCTGCCCGCACAAACGGCCCAGTCCCCCGGATGGGCGGGAAAAGACAGATGAGAGGCTATAAAGCAGGCCTGGGTCCGAGCCGCTGCCGACCCTTAGTTTTGGTTGGCCAACTGATTCTCCAGGTCCTCCAGTCGAGCCGTCAGCTGGGTCAGTGGTGTAGTTAAGGAAATTCTCTGGCCTTTATTCCCCTTCCTAGCCTCAGACCCCTACCCCGGGCTAGAGCCTAACACTGGATCTTGGATTACCTTCTCACCACCCTGGGGCTGTCTGCAACTTCGGACCCCGCCCCCGGTCCCGGTCCCGGTCCCTGCCATGAACTGTAGAGGATATGTTTCTGCTCCAAACTTCCCAGCGCCGCCAGAGCACTGCCTTGAAACTCTACGATACTCTCACAGTCGCAAGGGCTGCGAAGCTCAGTGACCCCTTTCCCCTCCTCTGCAACCAAGACATAGGGAGGTCAAATTAGCAATTAGAATAACACAAAGGACCTTAGAGAGCATCGAAATCCAACCCCTTCATTTTACAGGTGGGAAAACTGTACCAGGTGAAGGTGGAGCACCGTGCAAGGCACATAGCAAGCATTTACTAAAAATGCTTGTTGATTGATTGATTGAAGTGACTTACCCAGGTTCACGGAGATACTAAGTAGGGGAGTAGAGATTTTCACTCATATTTTCTGACTCCAAACCCAGGGCCCTTGCCTCCCTACACCAACATCAAGTACAACCTCACCTGCCTTCCTTTTTACGGAAAAGTTAATTGAGGCTCAGAGACAGTAAGTGACTTTGCCTAAAGCATCCAATGGAGTTAGCTGCAGGGATAGGTCTAGGCCCAGGGGTGGGGAACCTGCATCCTCAAGGCCACGTGTGGCCCTCTGGGTCCTCAAGTGGGGCCCTTTGACTGAATCCGAAGTTTGGAAGTTTGGATTGTCAAAGGGCCACGCGTGAGGACCTAGAGGGCCACACGTGGCCACGAGGATGCAGGTTCCCCATCCCTAGGCCTAGACCCTTGGTCTAATGAGTTTTCCACTACACCAGAGGGAAAAGAGGAGGGAGACTGGTAGTGCTAACTGGGGCTGACACTGGCTACCCTGCTTCGTTAGGGAGGCTCTTCTCACCAGGACAAATGTTGACTTTCAGGTTCTCCAGCATGTGTGCCATAGTGCTAAAGTCAGGCGAATAGGAGACGTGTTGCTCTGGGGGATCCGACGCGATCTCCTTCAGCTCCTCCTCTACCGCCTTGCCTACCCCCACCGCAAACATGATGATGCCTAAGGACCAAGGACACTTGGGGTCAGAACCAGGGGGTTACCCCACATCCAAGACCTCAAAGAAGTAAGCTACTGCCCCTCCACTTGGGGACAGGGGGCATCCCCTGTATGTATGCACCTCTTTCCTGAAGATCACAGAATTTAGAGCTGGAAGATCTTTTAGCCCAACCGCATCATTTATGCACGAGGAAACTAGGGCCTGGAGAGGGGAGGTGACTTGCCCAAGGTCACACAGGTAGTAACGTCAAAACTGTGATCAGAACCCATATTCTCGGACCCCAGGGCTCTTTTTCACTAGGAATCCATTCCCTCTTTTTCAAGGTAGCCTTTCCATGGAGCCCCGAATCTCCCCACCCCTCCTCCTTGGTCCTACCCTCCTCCTTGGCCCTGGCAGCCCACAGTGAGATGTCATCCTGGGAGCGGCCATCGGTAAAGACTAGGCCGACTCGTGGTACATTCTGGGCTCGGGGCCGAGCTCCCTGCGCCTCGGAGAAGCTGTGCTCCACCAGGTGGCGCAGCGCTAGCCCGGTCATGGTGCCTTTCTCCATATATTCGACGGCCAGGACGGCTTGCTTCACCTCGTCTGCGGTTCCGTAGCGACCCAGAGGAAACTCGGTGCGCACGCGGCTCGAATACTGCACCAGTCCCACGCGTGTCCCCTCAGGGGACACGTCCAGGAAGTCCACGATCTGGTTCACGAAACGCTTCACCAGTTCGAAGTTTTGGGGTCGGACGCTCTTGGAGCCGTCGATCACCAGAACCAGATCGACATGGCCCGCCCGGCACCCTGTGGGAGAAGAAGCCAATCGAGGGGTAGCTCTGGAGGGAGCCACAGGGAGCTTCGTAGAGGGCATCAGGGGCCGAACTGTCTGCAATTTTCTATGTAGGGGGTTCCCTGTGTGCGCTCCCTTCCCCCGTTAACTCACTGTCACAGCTCCTCCCATCAGCCTGGAGCTGCCGGCCCTCGGGACAAATGCAGCGGTAAGAGCTTCCCGAACTCACGCACTGAAACTCGCAACCGTGGTCCACGCCATTACAGTAGTCTCGGGCTGAAACAGATACCCACCCCCATAAGAGGGGAGCGACTGCTGCTCTTGCCCTCGGGCCTGTACTCCAAGGGATCCCCTTTTCCCTAGCGCATAAGGGGACGGGCTCCCCTTTTTCTCCAAGCAATCTCTTTGTCGTCACCCCCACCCCTTTCTTCTCTTCTTTCCTCTCTCCTCGGACGTTCTCTTCCTTCTTCCCGCCCACCTTTCTCCCAGCTACCCCCACATTCTCAGAGGCACGCAGCCACTCACGCCAAAGCCACCCTCCTTACGCTGACAGCGCCTGCCATCCGGCTGTAGGTCAAAGCCTTGGCGGCAACGGCAGCGAGGTCCCTCTGGGAAACTGACACACTCGTGCTGGCAGCTGTGATTTCCGAAACTGCAGTGATCAATCACTGGCAAAAGGGGAGACAGGGAAGGCCACTCAGCGTGGGGACACGCAACAGCGCAGGGGTTGCTGGGGCCACGGGCGCCTCGCTTCTCACTCACCAGTGCAGCGCCTCTGATCCAGGTGGAGGGCATAGCCCTTTCGGCAGCCGCAGGTGTACGAGCCGTCGGACTGGATACAAAGGTGCTCACAGCCGTGGGTTCCTTCCGCACAGTGATCAATGACTATGAGAGAAGAAAGGTCTGCTTAATAAAATCCACAATTTTTCCTGATCCCTCTTCCGAACCTCGCCCCCCCCCCCCATTCTTAGAGTACATTGGATCTCCATTTCAATATAAATTAAAGAGTGCTAGACAGAGTTGAGAGACCTGAGGGCAAAATCTAGCCCTGACACTTTCTAACTTAACTGTGTAGTTTCTACATCTGTAAAATGCCAATCATATTTGCACTATTTCTCAGCCCGGTCAGGAAAAACGCTTTGCAACTCTCAAAATGATGAAGAAACATGAGCTGATATTACCTTGCATGACACTTAATTGTACACAGCTCATCCCTCCTGAAAGACTTGAAGGCCTTCCTCATCTTTTGCAGGGCTGATTTGAGATCAATATCTCCACTAATAAGGAGATAGTCCCATATGTCCTTATCATGTGGACCTGGGGTTGCAGTCCATATCTCCAGGTTTAAGCCTAGTAGGACTTTCCACAAAGTGGGGCTTAATTTGTGTTGAATTGAATTGTGGGTAAGCCCTCTCTCAAACACTGCCCACTAGGTCTGTCAAGAAGCTCTTTGCTTAGAGCCTGTCTTATGTGCCCTGTTGGGGATCCTAGAGGGAACACAGAGTAGTTTAAGACATGGATTCTGCCTTCTGAGAGCTCATTGCCTAATGGGGAAACAAACACTCAGAAAGAAAAATAGTGAATGACTGCATCCATACATACATAATTGTGGGGTATGAGCACTAAGCATCTAACCTAATGGTTACAAATGAAATTGTTAAACCTGCATCGAGTTGTGCCTTTAACATGTAACATACTAGCTACCAGACCACTGGCAAATCATTCAACCTCTCAATGCCTCAGGCAACTCTTTAAAACCATATGTTGTGATTGAATTGAAGAGGTGAATTCATGGAGGGAATTTCCACACTGGAATTAAAACTATAAAGACTCTAAGGAACCACTGACTGAATGAAGCATGTGCTGCTAGAACAACAAGCTGAAACACGTCCCTACTTTGAAGCTCAATTTTCTAGCCTATTAAATGAAGGTAATATTTGCATTAACCTCCTCACTGGGTTGTTGTAAGGAAAGTGCCTTTGTTGACCATATATCATTAAAAGATGGGAAAAATACAACGAGGCCCAATGAGGAAAGCCAGCCAGGGGCATTTCAGTAGAGGTTTTCTGAGAGGGGCAATGTCACAAAATCATAGGACGCTACAGCTGGAAAGAGCCTTAGAGGGTGAGATAAGGACTTGTCCAGTCCTTTAATTTTACAGAGGAAATTAAAAATCAAAAATGAGAAGCAACTAATCCAGGAATAGGACAATGCTCTCTTGACTTCCAGGGCCTAGTGCTGTTTCTAGGTCCCTGGGGTGCCTGACTGTGGTGGCGTTTGTTGTTGTTCATTCCTGTCACTCTGCTTGATGCCTTTTGGGGTTTTCTTGGCAAAGATACTGAAGTGGTTTGCAATTTCCTTCTCCGGCTCATTTTACAGATGAGGAAACTGAGGCAAGCAGGGTTACTTGCCCAGGGTCACACAGCTAGGAAGAGTATGAGGCCAGATTTGAACTCAGGAAGATGTCTTCCTGACTGATGCCCATCATTCTATCCACAGCAGCAGTTTGCTAGCCCCAAAACTGAGGCTGAGGTTAAGTGACCTGCCCAGGGTCACACAGCTAGTAAGTAGCTGAGGCTAAGTTTGAACTTGGGTCTTCCTGACTCCAGGCTTACCTTCCTATGCGTTGCCCTGTCTAGAGGCTTCTAATGGTGTTTAAGCAAGTTTAATCTTTCTCTCTGGTTTCACGTGTATTTGTGTTCATGTCACACAATCTACTAAGCTGCAAACTCCTAAAGGGCAGCGACTGGTGTCTTTCATCTTTACATCACCAGCACATAGAAGGATCTTAATAAAAGTCGAATTAAATGGAATTGATCGGGTCACAATGGTACTTTACTGTTCCCTACAGGAAGCATCTCACCAGAGCAGCTCTTGTTATTCGGACCCAGACGGTAACCAGGGTTGCAGGCACAGTGAAAGGAGCCTGGTGTGCTAACGCACAGGTGCTGGCATCCGTGAGTTCCGTCTGCGCACAGGTCCTCTCCTGGAGACACAGGACCATGGTGGGAGAGGGGGGTGTCAGTTGTGACTTCTTGCTGCTCTCTGAGCTGTCCCATCCCACCCCACTTTCACACTCCGTGAGGAGAGAGGGCTGGAGAGAAAAGTGTGTAAGATGAGGCAGAGCCAGTAGACTGAATGACTCACATACAGAAAGCCCCCAGAGCTGGAAGGGGGCAGGTCCTGTATCCTAATTGTGGAAATGAAGCATGCGTGCATCGTCTGGGCTAAGGTGGGAAAGGACAGCACATCTGAATGGGATCTGTGAGGGAGTCAGCATGCACTTTCTGACAGCATGAGAGGAAGGACTTAAGTAGAGAAGGGATGAAACCAGTTAACTTAAAAGCTCAGGTCCCGGGCGGGGCCAGTAAATGGATGGGGTAAAGATAAACTGAACTTGTTCGAAGGCCTAGAGTAATGACAGGTGTGGCTTAAAGAAGAGGAAGCAGTGGGCCGGACCTTGGGCGATTGGGTGTGGCTAGATCGAGGCTCAGTTCCCAAGAGAGAGGTCTTCTCCCTCTCGAGGCCTAGCCCTTGCTCACCGCACAATCGGCCTTGAAAATGGAAGCCGAACTGTTGTATGAGGTTGAAGGACTCGACGAGGAAAACATGCTCATCCAGTGGAGGCGATGCCATAGCGCGCAGGGACCCCACGTCAGCGCGCTGTACTCCTACCGCGTAGATCTCTATACCCTGATTCCTTGCCTGGGCAGCCACTTCGGCCACCCGGTCCTGCGGCCGCCCGTCAGTCACTATGACAGCGACACGAGGCACCTGGGCCTGTGAAGGGCGAGCGCCCTCAGCGACGCTGAAGGCTACATTCACGGCATACTGGATGGCCAGGCCCGTCATGGTGCCCTGTGCCAGGGGGACGATGGCGTGGATGGCACGTTCCATGTCCTCTCTTCGGAAGAAAGCTCCCAGAGGGAAGACACTCTGCACCTGGCTTGAGTACTGGATCACGCCAACGCGGGTGGCATTGGGACCAATGTCTAGACCCCTAATAATGTTCACCAAGAAACGACGCATTGTTTCAAATTCAAAAGGACGGACACTACGGGAGCTGTCAATCAGGAATACCAAGTCGAGGGGTCCTGTCCTGCACTTGGAGTCTGCTGAAGAGAAGGGAAGAAGGGCTGGTGACTGGTGGCTTTCCCAAAGAGGACTCCAGGGAGCTAGCTGTGAGCTCCACCCTCTACTGGGGTGGGGAACAGGAAGCCAACAAATGGCTCAACCAGATACAAAGGAGGAATCCTGAGTCTCATCCTAACTTTGTAGATTCCTAACATCTAGCCCAGGGCTCTGCACACAGCAGGATATCAATGCATAACTGAATGAATGAACGAACTTTCCATTTCAACTCCCTCACTGTCCCCACCCCTAGAGCCCCACTGATCGTGATCGAGCAGCATGCTCAACTTACCTGGAGCAGCTTGCTGTTCAGCATTCACAGAAACCAGTAAAAAGATAAGCAACGGGGAATAGCGAGGTAGCCTCATGGTGGTTACAAAGGGTGTTCGCAAAAGAAGCTGAGACGTAATCTGGAAAGGCTAGGAAATAAGTAGTCATTCCAAGAGCCTGAAACAGCTGGGCCCTGCTTTCTGGCACTTCTCCTTTTCTCCCCTCCCTTACCTGCCACTGCTTGGGTCTCCTCCCCTTTCTCCCCCGACTCCCACTAAGTATGAGGCTGACAAGGCACCTCTTTGTGCGGCTTCCTGCCTACTGCCAGTTCCCCACCCCCAAACTCCTGTCCGAGAACCTCAGACCACAAGGAGGACTGTGCCCTCGGGAGGAAGGGGGTTAGGGGGTTGGGGCAGCCAAGACAAACTTTGGCCTAAGCACTGTGGCTAGATGTCTAGCTCCTAGAGAGCTGGGGAAACCCCATGCAGAAGCCAATTGCAGATGACGTGGCCTGCTTTTTTGTTGGCTATTCGCACCTCCTAACCCCCAACCTCCAGTGGGCTGTCCAAGGGACTCCACACAGGTCAAACAGTGGCAGCCCTAACACCTAGGGCCAAACACCTAGCAGCCAGCATGGGAAGCCAGCAGCTGCAGAGCAGGTGCCAGAGCCTAGAGCAAACATAGGGGGAGGAGGCAGGGAGGTGGGCCTGGGCGGGGAACAATCCCGAGGCCTTGGAGATAAGGTCCCCAGAATGGATATAGCAAGACAGGAGCGCACGGGGATGCAGCGCAGTGCTGGGGGCCAGAAGGGTAGAAAGCGAGTGTTTGTGAGAGCTCAGAATTGCGAGTAACAGGGGTTCATAGGCCTCGGGCTCCAGGCGTGCGACCATGGATCCCCCGGGAGGAACGGGTGAGAGAACCTGTCCCCCACCACACACACGCAATTGAAAGCCCCCAGTCCCCTGGGGCACACCTCCGGCTTGACTTGGAGTTTTCACCTTTGAACCTAAAATATCAGAGCTAGAAAGAAATCGCTCCTTTTACAGGAGAGAAAACTGAGGTCCAAAGATGAAAAGTTACTTGCTGAAGGTTATGAAACCAATTACTGTAAGCTCCTAGAATCTAGGTCCCTAGACTTCAAGCCTTTCTGTATTTGAGTCTACTCACAATTTGGAATTGGGAGGCTTTGTTCAACCTATGTTCTATAGGAAACTATTGCCCGGCTGAGCAGCCTCCATTCAGAGGTGAGGTGAAGGTTCCAGGCCGGCCAGAGTGTACCCGGAGATCCTCCTTTCCAAGTCTTTCTTCCTTCCTTTCTTCCTTCCTTCCTTCCTCTCTGTCTCTGTCTTTCTCTCTGTCTGTCTTTCTCTCTGTGTCTGCCTTTCTCTCTCTGTCTCTGTGTCTGTCTCCTTCTGTCTGTCTGTCTCTATGTCTCCGTTTCTGTCTCTGTATGTCTCTCTGTCTCTGTCTCTGTCAGTCTGTCCATCTGTCTGTCTGTCTGTCTGTCTGTCTGTCTGTCTGTCTGTCTCTCTCTCTCTCTCTCTCTCTCTCTCTCTCTCAGAAAGGGACTGGTTCAGGCCCTGCCCCTCTTCTTTCACAGCTCCAGCTGGTTTCCCCCAGCTCTGGAGTGTGAATGGAACTATTTTTAGCCAGGCTTCCAGGGCCAGCCTACTAAGGGTGCTAGACTCTTGGTAGAGCCAGGATTTAAGAGAGAAAAAAAGCCCCCAAACAGTGGCTGGCCGACCTGTACTCATTGGGGCCCTTATGGTCAGGTTGAGTGCAGTCACGTGCAATCGTATTGAATCCAGATGGGCCAGTTGCAGGAGAAGGATCGCCAGAAGTGAGCTCCTCTGGTTTGACCAAGAAAAGGCAACAGCATCCCTGGGGAGTGCTGGACTGGAGCTCCAGGAGCAATCATCCTTTCCTCTTACCTTTTCACATCTCTACCCTTCTCACCACTGTTTTTCTTGAGAATAAATTTAGTCTAGTGGAAGAACCCCTTGAACTGGAAGTCAGAAGATCTACTAACCTGATATGTGACCTTGGAAAAGTCTTTTCCCTTCTCTGGATCTTAGTCTCCTCTTCTTTGAAATTAGGGGGTTGGACTTTGAAGGAGTCAACCAGCTCTAGAATTCCATGTTCTAAGATCTCTTCCAGCTGTTCTATGTCCTAAGATCCCTTCTAGCACTAACATTCTAAGGGTCTGATTCAGTCCTTCTCACCCTCTCCTCATTCCACCAACCAAGACTTCCATCTAGGGTCAAGAGACCCACATAGGAACTACTTTTGGGTCATCCCAAGGTCCCCCATGATCTCTCCACAAGCCAATTTCCTGCCCTAACATGGAACCATGATGCTCTGCCCTGCCATCTGGTCTCTACCTTTCCCATGGCTTTGAGAATTACAGAGTATCAAGGCTGGGAGGGACCTTGGAGACTGTCTAGTCCAATCCTTTAGTTTTATAGAAGAGGAAATTGAGGTTCAGAGAAGGAAAGTGACTGGGCCACATCGAATTTGAGGGCAGAGACTGAACTAGAATCCAGGTCTCCTGACACTGCTCTGCCCAGCCCAGTTCTCTTTCACCTGCAATCATTCAGAAGAGGTATTTGTTTGAGAAGGATGGGTATCACAGGTAATTGAGACTGATGTGAGTGACATGTATGAGACAGCTCTGGGTTTAGGAGAAAAATTGGGGTTCCCTCTCACTAGTGACCAATTGAAGGAATTTTGTAGGTTCAGGGAAGGATTTCTCTTTAGAAAGGTGGACTGTGTGAGTAACAGAGTCCATTAGATAAAGGATAAGGGTCTGATTGGTTTCTAGAACTGTGAAGGATTTACAGCGCCCAGTTCACTAACTGTGGGACCTTGAGATAAGGGGCTCATATCTGTGCGGGTGCCCGAGTTATGGTAAGATCTGGAATGAGTACCATTAGGCAATGTCCCCAAGGTTATGGGAAAAGATCAGTGAAGAATCTCTCCCCATGATAAAGGAGTTATCCCCTTTATCGTATAAGGAAATCACCACCAAAGTGGGAGAGTTTTCTTGGGGGACATCCTAGATCAGAGTCCAAGGGTGACTCTGTGGAATATTTCTCTAAATTAAAAGACTTGCGATTTCTCAGCAGACCCTCCGCTGGCCCCAGGGCCCCTCACTCACCTGGGCAGGCTAGAGAGCTCCGAGAATCAGAGACAAGACGAAACGGACTTTGCGAGCCCCTTGTCCTGCTGGAACAGGTAGGGAAGCAAGAGGGCTACTTGCCCCGGGTCGAGGTTGAAGGAAGTGGCAGCGTCGGTCGCATTTAACTCGGGGGCTAGGGGAGCAGTCGACCCCTCCTACTGAAACTCGAGAGAGCCCCTCGTCTCACGGAGGGGTGGGAGGGGGGACTTCACAGACCCAGCTAAGGGGCGGGACCAGTGGTGTGTGCGCCTATGTTTCTGTGTGAGTGTGTGTGTGTGTGTGTGTGTGTGTGTGTGTGTGTGTGTGTTTGTAGTGGGGTAGGGGACCTCGCTACACTCTCCTCGTAGAGAAACCAAGACTCACTGAAACTCGGTTCTCTGCCGGCACACAGTCCAGCTCTGCAGCGGAGGGAGGGGAGGATAGCCAGTTTCTGCTGGAATGCAAGAAAATTCCAACAACACATTCCTCCTTTGGACTGCTCCAGAGAAGGGATGGACAGGGAGCGGGAGCACTGTATTTCTGAGGGTGATCCTGTCCGGAAGACCTGGAATGACGATCCCAGGCGCTAGTCAGTCAAAAAATTATTTATTGAGCACCAACTATATGCTAGATGTTGTGCTAAGTGCTCCGGGATTTGGGAGAACCGGAGGCTTGGGGAGAAAAGTGCCAGTCTTCTTCAGCCTCATCAGGCCTCCCCTGACCTGTGAAACCTCGGATAGCTGCCCCCCACCCATACCCCTAGGGGATGACCTGGAGATCCCCAAGCTCCCATATCCGGGTATCCAAAAGAGACAGGATGAGCCGGCTCACTACCTCCATGACCTGATGCAGCTAAGTCATCCAGGCTGAATTGGAAAAATGGTCCCATTTCTCTCTGTCTTCTGGGAGCCCCCAGTGCCACTTCAGCATAGAAATTGCACTAGTTCTAGCAGAATGGTCGCAGGGTACTCCCTGAACATCTTTACCAAAAAAAAAAAAAATCTAGGCCAAAGTGGGAGCAAGTGAGAAATATGCACAACACTCTTTTCTGTCCAGGAACTGGTCTGGTATGGGTGGGATTTGGGACCCTATTCCTTCCTTTTTTTTTTTTGGACACTTTCATTTAGGTCCCTGGGATCCAGCAGGCATCTACCCCTGTGCCCACTAAGCCACAGTCCCTTGGCCTCCCTAGGACCAGGGAGGGAAATGTATTGGGAGGGACTGGGCTTGAAGTTTTCAGGCCCTCACCACAGGAGGTAGGCGCATCTAGCTGTTGGTTCCCAGCAGTTTAACAAGGGAGAGGTAGGACCCCCCCCATCCCCAAAATTTGGGACTTCATGCTATGGGATGGATTCTCTATTGGATGCCTGGACTCAGTGCTAGGGGACAACAACAGTGCTGGGGGCAGGGGAAGGGGAGACAGGGAGAGAAGTACCAGCAGGGACAATTTAGCCCTTTTCACAGTCATTTATTGACCACCCAACACCCTTGTTCACCCCCTTCTCCCCGGATCTTCTTTCTCTGCCTTCTAGAATAGGAGCGGGTAGAGCTGGGGCAGAGGGCAGCTGACATTTGAGCACAAGAGCAATTATTGTACAGGCCCTACTTCCTCTGCCACTGGCCTGGCCTGGCACTGAGCCACACCAGCTGAGGGGAGCCTGGGTGGTCGCACTGCAGAGGGGCCTGCTAAGGCTCTGTGAAGGGCCCATTCAACATGCAGCAGCCCAAATATTTAGACCACAGCCTGTGGCGATGCCCTAGCTCCCCCTTCCTGCCCTCCTCTGGTTACCCAGACTTTCCTGAAACCTCAAGTCAAGTCCAAGTTTCTCATAGATTCTTGCTACTGACCTCAATGTTGCTTTCTTCTTTTTCTCTTCCTTTCCCTTCTTCCCTTCTCTTCCTCATCCTAGGTCACCCCCAGAGACATCAGCCGTCCTTCGAGACCAGGTGAGAAGATGTCTACAGATGCAGTCAGAACAGACGGTGAGGATTCTACATGCCAAAGTGGCCCAGAAGTCCTATGGGAGTGAGAAGAGGTAGGGAGAGGGTGATTACAAAGCTGGGGAACCACAATGGCTGCTCTTTCCCTCTCCCATCCTAACTGTACCCTGCAGCACCCCCAGGCTGTACCTAGCCCATCTACCAACTCCCTGTGATTTGGGCAAGGAATTTCTCAGTTTCCTCAACTGTCAACTAAACATTCAACAAACTTGTATTAAGCACATACTCTTGTACAGAGCACAGATTCAGAGCAGATGCCCAGTTTCCGTGAGATGGCACTTTCCCCTCCTCCTGCTAGAAGAGGGAATAAGGCAAATGCGTAAAATAATTCACACAGTTGCATGAGTACAACAAAGAGGAACAAAGTAAAAAGTCATACAAGGACTGAGTGGGAAGGTATTTATTACCTTTGGGATCAAGGAAGGATTTGATTCTATAAAATTCCATGAGTGTTTCTTAAGATCATACCCTACTATGCCAGGTCCTGCCCTCAGTGCTGGAAATACAAATACATACAAAAAAAAGAAGCAAGTATCTGCCCTCAAGGTACTTACAGGAGGAGCTGATATTTGAATTGGGCTTAAAATGATATATTATTCATAAGAACAACAAATGAAGTGGGGATAGGAGGCATTGCAGGCATAGGGAAATGAGTGACCAAAGGCATGGAAGGGAGAGAAAATGAGATATCCTAGAGAAGCAAAGACTTCCATTTTGGTTGGAATCTACAATGCATGGAAAATAGAAAGAAGAGATCATGCTGAAGAGTTAAGGTGCCTTCAGATTGTGGAGGGCCTTTAATGTCAGGTGAAAGGGTTTTAATTTTTAATTTTTATCCCTTGATACTTCAGTTGATACATACAAGTGGTAATCTATCCACCACTTCTCATTCTGGGACTCTTGTCCCTGTTCTTCCATAAATCCTCTATAGAGGGACCTACCTTTGAGGTTTCCCTCCAGGTCTTTCAAATGTTTAATTCTCAGGCAGTGCCCCAGGTGTGAACTGGTTGTTCTTCCTTTTCCAAATACAGTGGCCCCACCTTTTCTGATCCAACATTTTTCTTCCATTCCTTATAGCCAAGTCGTCATGGGTAACATGAACTTCATTGGGTAGCAGTAAAAAATAAAGAAAGATAGAAAGAACCCTCTCATTTATATAGCCAATTATTTACAAACCCCTCTCTCAAGTAGGTGGAGACCTACTGTGTAGTTGGAAGTCTACTGTGGATTTTTCAGTTGAGGAAACTGAGACTCAGAGACAAGTGACTTGATAAGGTCACAGAGTTAGTAAGTTTCAGAGCTAGTATCTAAACCCATTTCTTCTGACTCCCAAGTCTTGGGCTCTTTCCGCTTTGTCCCTGGCTAAATAATTTCTAAGATTCCTTCTGAGGGCTTGGGACAGTTCGGGACATATCCAAGCACTTCCCCACCCCTATAAGCTGGTCTTTCCCTTGGCCCAGAGGTGACAATAGCCTCTCCACGTAGGTTCTTCTGTCCGCCGCCCTGCATATATCTCACGGGCCCAGGCTGGAGGCTGAAACCGGAACAGGGGCAAGGTGAGTGGGGGAAGCAGGACCCACTCCACAGCTTCTCCCAGATCCAGAGGTTGGGAGTCAGCAGGGACAAGAGGGTGAAGGCGCAACCCCACAGCGCCCCCTTGAGTCCACTGTACAGGAGCACACTGTATGGTACATTCTAACCTCGTCTCATCAGTCATCTGCGGTGTATTCTAGCGAACGAGACGGGGGAGTCTGGATGCATGGTCGCCGGTTACATGGGGTTGGACGGCGGTTCCGCAGAGGCGCAAAAGCTGAGCTTTGAGGAGCAGCCAGACTCTAGAGTAAGGACGGGAAAGTTGAGCAGACAGATCCCCACCTCTCCACTGTTGGAGGGTGCTGCATTTCCTCCTCCCCCAGATGATGACCTTGGTCAGGGACCTGGATGGGAGGGACTGGTGTGGGCTTAGGGAGGAAGGGGACCTACCTGGGCAGTCCAAGGGGGCCAGAGTGACTGGGAGAGCTGGGGTTGGGGGCTCTTTAAGCCATCCTCAACTGGGTAGCCAAGGCTTCACTGAGCCTGCTGGCCCCAGGACAAAGGCAAAGCTGCCCACTTCGCCGGCTGGCTAGGAATTCGCCTGCGCCAAAGCTCTATTTATCTCGGACTCGGACAAGAGAAAGCACTTCCGGTTGGTGTTAAGGCTGGTGTTGCAAGGAGGCCAAGAGCTAGGTACCTTCCACAGTCGCCTCATCAAGGTCATCTCCAAGCCGTCTCAGAAGAAGCAGTCCCTGAAGAACACGGACCGTGAGCTCGGGGATAAACCTGGACCTGAGGAGTGGGGCTGCAGATTAGGAAAGGGGAGAAAAAAACAGAGGTGGGGGTGAAGGCAAGGATGTGGTTTAAAATGAGGGAGTGGAGCCTAGGAAATCATGGAGTCATAAAGCTTCAGAGTTGGAAGGAGCCCTCAAAGGTAGAACGTAAGAGTTGGAGAGCCCATTGAATCCAGGTCTGGGGAGAGGGGGTTGGCCATGACCAGAAAGGTAAGGTGACTGGTTCCCAGGCTGCAGAGACAACACTCACAATTAGACAATGAAAGCACCAAGTCTTACCTGCTCTTTGGGCTCTGAGACTGGAAAGATGAATGAGGGCTGGCAGCTGGAAGGCTTTCTAGAAGTAAGAAGTTAACATCGTGGGATTCAGAGCTAAGAAAAGATTTCAAGATAAAATTGAGACTCAGAGAGATTAAGAGATTTGTTGAAAGTAACTAGTGAGTAGCAGAGTGAGGGTTTGAACCTAGGGCTATCTGACTCTAAATCTTGGGAGTTTCCCCACATTATATCTGAGCTGGCTCATATTTGCCATAGAGAGGCAGCAAGGTATGGTTTATAGAGAGCTGAGCCAGGAGGCTGGTAGAGTCCTCTCCCTGATAGATACATACTGACTGCATTGTTTTGGGCAAGTCACTCACCCTCTCAGGGCTCTGGGCAACTGTGTAAAACTATTCTGTTTCAGTGAAGGTCCTGATCTGCCTTAGTAGAGGGGACTTCCTGACTTAGTAGTTTCCCTATGCCAATGAAATCACAGTTTTAGGCACTACTCCTATCACCTAAGTACTAAGGAGATGTTGGCAAAGAAGGGGTCAGGAAATAATGAAGGGTCTTGTAAATAAGGCACAGCCCTGGGTCCCCTCCCATCATGAGGGATAATGGAAAGGGAGAGGAGCCAAACTTGAGCAGGTAACATTGACCAGCCCCTTCCCTCACAGTATGCATCTCCTCTGGATCCAAGGTGTCTCTCTTCAATCGTCTTCGATCTCAGACTGTCTCCACCCGGTACCTATCTGTGGAAGGTGGTACATTCATCGCCAGTGCCAGGCAGTGGGCAGCCTTCACCCTGCATCTGGGTACTGCACCTGGGTTCAGCTCTACTCACACCTCTGTCTACCATCCATGTTCAAACAACCCCCAAAAGAGGAGTATTTTCCCCACAGTCAGATCTCCTGTGTTTGCTTTGTGGGTCATCAGTTATGATACTGAGCTCCCTCCAGAGTCTTGGAGATAAGAATAAGTTGAGCCATCTGTATTGCTACCTTCTCCCCCTGGTAGCAAAGTGGGGGGATCTGTAGTCTTATCATCCATAGCCAACAAACTTGAGTTTTCCTCTGAACTAAGGTGCCTGGCCCATCTGGTTACTGAGCCTATGTTCCAACCCCAAGCTGAAGGTCACAACTCAACCTCTTGCTGAATCACTGAATCAGTTATAAAATCAGAGCCAGGAGGGATCCCAGAGGTCAGCTCATTTTACACAGGAGAATCAGAGGAGTCAATTAATTACCCTAGGGTCGCGTAGCTCAGTAGGGGCAGAGCTAGGGGTGTCCTGACTCCTGGTCAAGGCCTCTTTCCGGAAGGGGGAACCATGTAGAGGAGAATGAGGTCTTCCAATTCACTGTTCCTTGGGGGAGGAGAGATACAGACACTTGTAATCATATTAGCTAATATTTCCATAGTGATTTTACCTTTACAAAGCATTTTGCTCACAACTTTGTGAGATGGGGAATGAAAAAAAATTGTTGCCCCTTATTATAGGGGAGGCTCAGAGAGATTGAGTGATTTACATATGGTCACAGTGCTAAGTTTTGGAGCCAGAATTTGAACCCAGTTCTCCTGACTTCTGATATCTTCCAGAAATTCTTCTCTTGTCCATGCTCCAAGCACAGACATATCACTGTCACACCTCAATTCTGGTAGCCAGAATACTTAGTCACCAATTTGTGGCCAAGGAGATTCCTCAATCCACCCCTACCTGCCCTCCTTCATACAACTCTACTCCATCCAAAGTCTCCCAAGAGGGGAGAAATCCCCAGATTCCCTGGGAAAATTCACTCCCAGGTCCAAATACTTGCAATTGTATTTATATTAGATTGCATTTATACAGAATATTCCAAAATTCTTAGTACAATTTGTTTTAAGAACTAGAAACCACACTAAGACTTTTAGGACACCCTAGATAACAACATGGCGTTTACTAAATCCCTTTAGGATCCCTTTTGACCTTCACATCAGCCCTTTATGGAACTGCTAGGATAAGTGTGGGTATCCTCATCTTACTGATGAAGAAAGAGGGTACTCAGGAGAAATATCCTTATCTGAAAATGGGGACAAGAATGCTTGTCTCATAGGACTACAATGTGGAGTTTTGCGAACCTTAAAGCAACATATTACTATGAATTAGTTATAATTACATAGGATACACACACACACATACACACAGATATCAGGGGTGGGGAACTCAAGGCCGAAGGCTCCCCACCCCTTATTTCATACATATACATATATACATATACACACACATACACACACACACACACACACACACACACACACACACAGAGTTCAGTTGTTTTAGTCATGTCCAACTCTTTGTGACCCCTTTTGGGGTTTTCTTGGTAAAGGTACTAGAGTAATTTGCCATTTCCTTCTCCAGTACATTGTATAGACTGAGCAAACTGTAGCAAACAGGGTTAAGTGACTTGCCCAAGGTCACACAGCTAGAAAGTGTCTGAGGCTCGATTTGAACTCAAGAAGTTGAGTCCTCCTGACTTCAACCTGGCATTCAATCCACTGTGCCACCTACCTGCCATAGTTAAATAGGTGTGTGTGTGTGTATATGTGTATATAAATATGTATATGTATATATGTATATACATATATACACACACATAGAGAGAGAGTTGTGGTTATAGGATATAGATATTATAATGAATTAAGAGTGGAAAGAACCTTAGAGATCATCTAGTTCCTTTTAGAGATCACCTTATTAAGGGCAGCAAGGTGGCGCAATGGATAGAGCTCTGGCCTTGGAGTCAGGAGGACCTGAATTCAAATTCGACCTCAGACTCTTGATACTTACTAACTGTGTGACCCTGGGCAAGTCGCTTAACCCCAATTGCCTCATCAAAAAAAAGCAAAAAAAAAAAAATAGAGATCACCTTATTTTACAGGTGAGGAAGTGACTTGAACAAGGTCACACAGTATATTAATGGCAGAACTGAGATTCAAACCCAGATCCCTTGACTCCAACCTCATTGCCCTTTCCATTATGCCACATCACAGGTTTGTTGTAAGAAAAGTGCTCTGTGAATTGTAAAATACTGGAGACATTGTAGCAATTTTTTTCAAATGACTCATCCAAGGTCCTACAAATACTAAGTAGCAGAACCAGAATGTCAATCATGGCCGTAGGATTTCAAAGCCAGTGGGCCTTCTCCTATACCATGTTGTCTCTTAATACCTTTTCCTGCCTGATATCCTACATGTCTTTTCCCCTCTCTGAGCCTCAGTCTTCTCCTCTGTAAAATGGGGATTACTCTTAAAGCACCTATCATTTTATGAGGCTAAATGAGATAGCATCTGCAAAGCCCTTTATAAACCATAAAGCACCACAGAAATATCAGTGTTGGTTATTATTGTAATCTAACATCAGACTTACCTGACCTTACTTGAAAGTCCAAAAGTCCACATGTGGTACTGGAGGTGGGGGGGTGGGGGGAGGCCTGATGCCTCTACACTCACCATCTTCCTTTCCCTTAGCTGATAATCACCGTCCCCGGGGAGAATTCCCTCTCCAAGAAGGCTATGTTCGCTATGGTTCTCTAGTACAGCTGGTCTGCACGGTCACAGGCATCACCCTGCCCCCCATGGTATGAACCTGAGTGACCAGACTAGACCTGGGTGGTTTCTTTCTGGTCCACATGGAGGGTGATTGTGACCATAGGCTATAGGGGTGTGGGCAGGAAGAGCAGCCATCACGGGGGCTCAAAAAGGACCCATGGGAGATTGGGGGGAAGTCCTGGCCTCTCAATGAGCAGGTCTGGCTCTGAAGTGAGTTGGCTGAGGCCCCTCTGGGTCCCTTGACACTTTCTTTTCCTCTTCTCCCACAGATCATCCGCAAAGTGGCCAAACAGTGTGCACTCCTGGATGTAGATGAACCAATCTCCCAGTTGCACAAATGTGCTTTCCAGTTCCCAGGTGGGGGATCAGGGGGTGGTACCTACTTGTGCCTTGCCATGGAAAAGATTGTGCAATTCCAGGTGAGACTGGGAGATTAGCAGATCATGGACAGACCTTAAAATACAGAACGGAGGACCATAGATTTAGAGCAGAAGAAGCCTCTGAGGTCATCTAGACCAACATCCTTATTTTATAGATGAGGAAACTGAGACCCAGAGAGGTTAAATAACACCCAAGGTCACATGGAAGAGATCTGGAATTTGAACCCAGTTCCTTTGCCTCCAAACATTCTTTCCTCTCCTCACCAGAATGAACCTCACAGAATATCAGGGTTATCAAAACAATCTGAATGCAGTAGCCTTTTCAAATTTTATTATATCCTTGCTCAAAAACATTCAGTGACTCTCTATTGCCATATGGTAAAATACAAACTCCTTAGCTTGGCATTCACTCCCCTCTACTGTCTGGCTACAATCTCCCTTCCCTGGCTTAATTCCTTTTTCTCTCCTTAATGCATTTTACATTTCAGCCAAGCCATGGGACTATTGGTTGTTCTCTGAACTCATGGAGCTCTCTTCCACCTCTGTGCCTGGATCATCCTCCATTCTTTCCCCATCTCCATTTCTTGACATCCTTCTTTACCTTCAGATTCCACATCTTCTCCATGTAATATCACATTCTCTCCCAACCTCCACCCCACTGCCTCACAGCTGAAATGAATCTTTCTCCCCTTAAATTTTCCTAGAGCACTTTATCCAGGTCTCTTCTTTACTTTTAAAATATCCTGCTTTGTCTCATACTTATTTGGGTACGTGTAATGCCCTCCAGTAGAATGTAAGCTCCTTTAAGGCAGGGCCTGTGTCCTTTTTTATCTTTAGATCCCCAATACTGAGCCCAAGGCCTGGCATACTTGCTGTTGTTCAATGGGTAGGGTAGGAGTAGGCAGAAAGTAGAGCAGAGCAGAAAATTTATTCTGTCAGCTGCAATAGGTGAATGACAGGTGGGAGAGATTGGTAATGGGAAGACCTGTTAGGAAGCTATTGGAATAGTCTTGCAGGTGAGTGTGAGGGTTGCAGCCATTAGACTAGAGAGGAGAAGTTGAATATAAGAGATGCTTTTGAGGTATATTTGGAAGAGATTGATATTTGAAAGGTTGTGAGGGATGAGGGAAGAGGAGGAGTCAAAGATAACCCCAAGTATTAAAACACAGATGATGAGGTCAGTGCTGGCAGTGCAGACAGAAATAGTGGATTCAGAAAGAGTAGGGTTAGTAGAAAGTCCTGCTCCTGAAGTTTAGAGTGTGATTTGCTCATAGGACATCCTGATAGAGATTTTCTGAAAGAACTTGAAGTTTGTAAGATCCATGAGACTTGGAGAAACATCTACATAGAGGTGGTAATTGAAGCCATGGGAGTAAGAGAGATCTCCATGGGAGATATTATAAAGAGAAGATATCCTCCAATTCTTTCATTCTGCAAGAGGGAGAAATATGGCCTAGAGAGGGAAAGTGAGTTGCCCATGGTCACACAGTAAGTTGGTAGGGTTAGACTCAATTCCTGGACTGCAGATGGAGTAGAGGGGAGTAGGAAGATGGGGATCCACCTCATGTCTCCCCCAGGGATTCACTGATGGCCCCTGCCCCTCCTTGCCTCATCACTCATCTTCCAACACTTTTTCCTAGGCTTCACCCTGTCCCAAGGAAGCAAACCGGGCACTGCTGAATGACAGCTCATGTTGGACCATCATTGGCACTGAGTCAGTGGAGTTCTCCTTCAGCACCAACCTTTCCTGCCCCCAGGAGCTTGTCACCCCGGTGCCCCTCATCAGTACCTTAGAGGTACTAACCTGGACAGAACCCCAGGAACTCTGCCCCCAATCCCCCAGTCTAGGGGGACTATCTGGCCATGTCAGTTCCCAGGAGGGAGGGGGTTATGATCCCTTGTCCCTGATCCTAGCCTGACTCAAGACCCTTTGCCCCACAGCTTAGTGGTGGGGGTGACGTAGCAACCTTGGAGCTGCTGGGTGAGAATTTCCATGCAGGACTCAAGGTGTGGTTTGGTGACGTGGAGGCTGAGACCATGTACAGGTACAGATGGTGACTGGGGAGGTTCGGTTTGAGTCTGACTCTATGGATCTCGGCTTCCCCAATTGTAAAGTGAAGGGGTTACGTTTGAGTCTTTGGGATCTCATCTATTTCATGACTTTTTGTGTTCTGACTTGTGCCTCCAGGAGTCCCCGGTCCCTGGTATGTGTGGTACCTGATGTGGCGGCTTTTGGTAGTGCCTGGCGGTGGCTGCGCACCCCCATTACGGTGCCGGTGAGCCTGGTCCGTGCAGACGGGCTGTTGTACTCCAGCGCCTTCTCCTTCACCTACACCCCAGAGCAGAGTGGCCGGCCAGCCCCCTTAGGAGCCCCTGAGCCACCTCCTGATGCAGACGCCCTCTTGGAAAGCATCCACCATGAGTTTACTCGAACCAATTTCCACCTCTTCATCCAGAGCTAGAGGAGGGGTGGGGGCGGGAAGCAGTTGGGCTGCAGTAAGGGAATGTTACTGTTGGTCATGGGGTGACCTTCTTTAGCCCATAAACCCCATCCCAAGAACCACCCTATGCTCCAGGCTGCGGTGAGGCCCAGGGCTTCCTATGGATCATCAGATTTACAGTGAGAAGAGATTTTCACGGTCCTCTTAGTCTGACCCCTTTACCTGACATGGAAAAAACTGAGGGTCAGAGAAAGGCAGCTTGCCCAAGAACACACAAGTAATAACAACAAACCCAGGCCTTCTGACTCCATATCCAGTGCTTTTTTCATGCTGTCACTCTGGGTTGATACCACAGGAGTGTGCAGCACCTTTCATTAGGGTGTGCCCACAGGGAACATTTTTTAAAGATGAACATTAATTGAATATACAATAAAGGATGTTATTTTTATTTATCAAAACTTAACTTATATTTTAAATAGCAACTAAACTTCACTTTGATAATTTTAAAAAAATTTTAACGAGACACTGACTGCCAATCATTTTGGGAGGACATTCAGGCGTGCCTGGGCATAGCTATTGTACCCTCTATTAGTTCATCTCAATCAATCAATCCACAAGCATTTATGAAGCACCTACTGTATGACCACGTGACTAGTCTGTTGGACACCCACACAGGCCTTCCTTTCCTCATATAAAAGCTCCAGCTAGAGATGGAAATGTTGCAGGCATGGAACCCTTCAAACATTCACTCACTGTTTCTAACACGCACAGACTCTACTTTAACCTGGTACAGGGAGAAGAGCTGTGCCTGGAGCTGGGAGGCCTGAGTTCAAATTCCAGCTTTGTTTTTAATAACCCTGCAACTTTGAGCTTCTGCTTCCCCCTTGTGAGCCTCAGTTTCCTCATTCGTCCAAAGGGGACTAGCTAACCCCTGAGGGCCCTTCTAGCTCTGTCATCACCAGGATAGTGTAGGGTAAAAGAAGGAGTTCTGGGCTTGGAACTAGAAGTATGTTCAGGTCCCCACTGGAGAGATTTGGGGCAAGTCACATCCCTTTTTAAAACTCCAGCTTCCTGTAAAATGAGGCTAGCAATACTTAAAACATCTACCTCATAGGTAGGCAGTGATAGGAGGGAGTGTAGGTATTTCCATTTTACAGAGAAGAAAACAGGCTCACAGGATTTCAGGGGGAAAAGGTACCTCAGAGTGGATCTAATCCATCCCAGACCCCAAAGATTCCCCACTACAACATACCTGAGCAGAGGTTATCCAGCCCTTTCTGCAAGCCCTCCAAGGAGAGTCAAAGCAACCTCTTCCACTCACAAATGACTCTAACTTCCAGAAAGTTATTCCTGACTTCATTTTTAAATGGGCCTCTTTGTCACTCCCACCAATTGCTTCTAGTTCTGCAGTCTGTGGGCAAACAGAACAAATTTAGTCCCTTTTCCATTGACAGCCCTTCAAATACCTGAGAGCTCTCTGCCCTTCCTGAGTTTTCTCTTCTCACCCCCCACCCTGGGAAAAACACCCACAGTTCCCTCAGCCAATGTCCATATCGCATGGGTCCTTTACCATCCTGGCTGCCCTCCTTTGGACACTATCCCTTCCCTTCTCAATTGTGGCAACCAGAGCTGAACACAGTACTCCATATGTGGTCTGGCTTGGGAAGTATACAACAGGCCTATCCCCTCTTTATTCCAAAAAGCCAAACCTCTGTTAATGCAGACCAAATCACAATAGGTTTTTTTCTACTATATAACATTGTTAATTCATACCAAGCTTGAAGTCCACTGAACCCCCAGATCCTTTTCAAACAAATCTAAGAAAAAAAAAAACAAATCTAAGCACCTCTCCCCTATCTCATATTTAAGTCAAGTGTAAGACTTTACCTTTGTTCCTATTAAATTTCAAGTACTAAACGAAGCACAGTGTCCTAATCTATTGAAATCTTTCTAGGATTCCATCTTCGAAAGGTGTTACTTATCCATTCCTGTTCTGTGTCATTTGCAAATTGGATGTGCATGCCATTTATGCCTTTATCCAAGTCACTGACAAAATTAATAAACTGCACAGGGCCAAGCCCAGATCTCTAGGGCACTATTGACATTGAACTACTGACCACTCTTCAAGTCCAGCCATTCAACCAATTTCTATCTAATTATGCTGACATCTAGTCTGTAGCTCTCCATCTTTGCCATAAGAAGAACATGAGGTGTTTATCAAATAGTTTGATAAAATCTTTGTGTACTGTATCGGCAATATTTTCCTCATTCACCAGCTTCGTAGTCTTGTCAAGAAAAGAAAATAAGATTAGACTGGCATAACCTGCTTTTGATGAAGCCAGGTTGCCTTTGTGGTCGTGTTTCCTTCTCTGGATGTTTCAAAATTAAGGCTCATTGAAGGGAAGTGATCCTATCTGGGAGCTCCTGAAGAGTCTCAGCTGGAGTTGGTGCCAAGTCGGACCACCCTCCAACTCTATCCCTGCCTCCACAGCCCACTCCTAACTTTCCTGACAATGCCCCTCCCCCTTCTCCTCTCCTGGGCTAACACTGATTTGATCATCCGAGGATGTGCTGGCAAATATTTAACAACTGGTTTTCCAGGGACACACAACACATGAAGTTTAGTCTGCATTATGAACATTTTCTTCATCATTTTCTTAAGTCTAGACAGTTAATTGAGCCCTAACATGTAGCATTTACCAATTTCCAAGTTGTATTACCTCTGAGCAGGTATGGGCTAACTCCCACACACTCCTGCAATCCCTACCCTTGCCAGAGAGAAACCAAAATCCCCTCTCCAGTCTGACCCTTAGGCTAATGGTGGTGGGTTGCTACTTGTGGGACAGACACACCAACACATCCTACCTAAGGAATCCTAATCCTTCCGTCTTCTCTGTAGCAGAATTCTCCTATATGTGTTTTCTTTCTCAGAGCATGAGCACCTTGAGAGCAGGGACTTTTTGTATAGAATCTCCAGGGCTCAGCACAGTGCTTGGCACATTGCAGGGGATTCATCAACACTTTCCTTCATTTATTGTGCAATGTCACACATAGTGAAAAGCCTTGAATGCAGGTCTTTACTCTAAATTAGAAAGCTCTTTCTATGCTTCTGCTTCAAACAAGTGCTAGGTCCGTCCCCGATGTCTAAGACCTTGAGCTGGGGAGGTGGGTCTCAGTCGCAAGGAAAAGAGGGCAATGATCCCAGGCCTTTAGTGCTCAGACCCCAAGGAAGACAAATGGCAGCTAATTTTCAGCGAGAAAAGCACATGTTTGCTTGCATAATTTCTATGGTATTAAGGAGCCCTTTATGAAAGGTGGACTAGAGGAAGCAGGAACTAAATCCTGGGAAACAACAACATGTTGTGGAAAGAGCCCTGGCCTTGAGGTGAATAAAAGAGTGTTTCATACCAACTAGCTGTGTGAAGTTCAGGAAATGACTGCCCCTTTCTGAGCCTCAGTTTCCTCATCTGTAAAATACTTGCACTACCTACTTCAGAAGAGTGACATGATTAAAGTACTTTGTAAACCTTAAAGTGCTATATTTTAACATGAGAGGTAGCATGGCAGAGCGGATAGAGAGCTGGTCTTGGACCAAGGAAGATCTGAGTTCAAGTACTTCTGATGCTGACTGGTTTTGCTGGCTTGTGTGACCACTGGGACTCAGTCTCCTCGTTTGCAAAATAAGGGGATTGGATTGGATGATCTCTAAGCTTTTAAGTTTTAAATCTATATTTACCTCCTGAACAAATCCCTCTTAATGGCCAGTGGGAAAGCCTGGCAGAAGTGTTGGGAGATAACCTTCAAGGGTATGGCCAGTGGGTGGCAGTGTTGCACCAGTGTCAGAGCTGGAAGGAATTTTAGGACCGAAGATTACTTATTAGAGTTGGAAGAGCCCATGGTCATTGACCAGTCCAAGCCACTCACTTTGTAGGCAATGAAACTAGGTTCCAATAAAAGGAAAAATGTGTTGGATGTTCTTGCTGTGACTGAGGGGCAGCCCCAGGAGTCTCTCACCTCCCATCCAGGTCTTCTCACTCCCCTACACTTATCTCTCTCCTTTTTTTCACCTTGCCATAGGACCATGTTGTATGTGTGCAGCACTTTACTCCTGACTGAGCTCTTTTCCATCCATTATTTCATTTGAGTAGAGAATATAAGTTTCTTGAGGGCGGGGATTGCGTTCTTTGGTGTCTTGATGTTCATAACAGTCATGGGAGGGGCTAACAGGGACGGAGAACCTGTGGCCTGGAGGCCACATGTGGCCCTCTAGGTCCTCAAGCGTGGCCCTTTTGACTGAATCCAAACTTCACAGAACAAATCCCCTTAATGAAAGGATTTGTTCTGTAAAACTTGGACTCAGTCAAAAGACAGAACCCAAGGACCTAGAAGGCCACATGTGGCCTCATGGCCATAGGTTCCTCAGCACTGGCATTAGAACATTTGACAGATGGGCACCAGAAGGACTGAGAGAAGAGACCTACCCAAGGTCAAATAGATACCAATTGGTAAATTCAGGATTCAAATACAAGACTTCAGATTATATAACTGGGTTTTTTTTTAATATATTTTATTTATTTTGTAAAAAATTTCCTAATTACATTTTAAAATGTAATGTGTGTTGAATTGAATTGTGGGTAGGCCCTCTCTCTTGCACACTCCTCACTAGGTCTGTCAACAAGCCTTTTGCTCAGAGTATGTCTTATCTGCCCTGTTGGGGATTCTGAGAGCTCGTAGCCTAATGAGGAGACAAATACATACACTCCAAAAGAAAAATAGCAAATGACTATACATACATATGTATATACATACATGCATACATACATACGGCAGCTAGGTGACACAGTGGATAGAATGTGGGCCTGGAGTCAGAAGACTCATCTTCCTCAGTCCAAATCTGGCCTGAGACACTTACTAGTTGTGTGGCCCTGGGCAAGTCACTTACCCTTGTTTCCTTCAGTTTCCTCATCTATAAAATGAGCTGGAGAAGGAAATGGCAAACCACTCCAGTATCTTTGCCAAGA